GACTGCGCCGTTGTACTGCATGAACAGCACGTCCTCCACTAAGTGCACACAAAGCGCCGCGGAAGAAGGTCTTCTGAGGTCGCATGATACGATTTAAACAAAGCTGCACACAACAACTTTGACTGTACTCACATCCCATTGTGTTCCACTGCAGCGCGGGCCTCTGACACATTCCGAGCCGCCTCTAAAGGACACGCGGATCCCTTCACTGGCTGGTGTTGGTGCAAATAGAATGCAAATAGAGCAGATCTGCTGCTTAGGCTGGAGAACGAGTGGGGAAACGAGAATAATTGAGACCTTAATTGAAGCGTGTGGATGGACTGTAGGGACGCTATGAAAGCAGTGTGTGAGCACAGAAAATATGAACAAAACCGCATTTATCTGTTGGGGAGAGTTGGCGGGGGGTGGGGGGGTGGGGGGGATCAGGTTCCGGAAATACCAGTTTTCCAATGCCGTGTGTGTACCAGAGGTTATGAGCGAGCAGCAGACCGGATGAAACAAAGAGGTAGAGCTTCATGAGTAGTGATGAAATGCTCGGCAACACAAACGCGAGTGAGTGCCACTGTTTGAGCTAAGAAGGGTGTTTCAGAGCATGTCCATTCATGTCACCTGAAGGTTGCCTTTGCATTGTCGCCGATTACCCTCGACACACACAACACGAGCCAAGACGGGAAAAAGCACTTTGCGAATTTCGAATTTCCCAGTCAAGGACTTAAATGAAAGCAAATCTTCTTGTACTCTTTAGCTGTTGAATTGCAGCTTCGGCTGACAACTGACACTGACTGGAATACAACTTTAATATGTGCATGTGCCTGTCTAACTGACATCTCTCAGTGGATGTCCGCCCACCATCTGAAAATCAACCCCGACAAGACTGAACTACTTCTCTTTCCCGGAAAAGACTCGCTTACCCAGGACCTGACAGTCAACTTTGGAAACTCTGTGCTAACGCCCACTTCGACTGCTAAGAACCTCGGCGTCACACTCGACAACCAACTCTCCCTGACTCCCAACATCACTGCGACAACGCGATCCTGTAGATACACGCTCTACAACATCAGGAGAATACGTCCCCTTCTCACTCAGAAGGCAGCGCAGGTACTGATTCAGGCTCTTGTCATCTCCCGCCTGGACTACTGCAACTCCCTCCTGGCAGGTCTCCCTGCCACCGCCATTCGACCTCTGCAGCTCATTCAGAATGCAGCAGCTCGACTGGTCTTCAACCTTCCGAAATTCTCCCACACTACTCCACTCCTCCGCTCTCTTCACTGGCTACCGGTGGCCGCCCGCATCCAGTTCAAAACACTGGTGCTCACGTACCATGCTGTGAATGGATCGGGTCCAGCTTACATCCAGGACATGGTCAAACCCTACATCCCAACCCGCACTCTCCGCTCTGCATCTGCAAAACTACTCGTCCCTCCCCCACTGAGAGCAAAACACTCGACTAGGTCTCGACTCTTCGCTGTCCTTGCGCCGAAATGGTGGAACGCGCTCTCTGAAGACATCAGGACCGCAGAGAGCCTTCACATCTTCCGCCGCAAACTAAAGACACACCTCTTCAGACTCTACCTCGACTAAAGACTAACAAATTGTAGCACTTAAACTGTACTTGTGACGTCACTCATCTATAGCAAATTGTAAATTCGCTTATTTGAGGAAATTGCACTTTCTTGTTTCTTGTTCTCCTGAGTTTGTACCCTATGGTTGAATGCACTTATTGTACGTCGCTTTGGATAAAAGCGTCAGCTAAATGACATGTAATGTAATGTAATGCATGTTATTTCCTCCATCCTTGTACAAACCGCTTTCTCGTTCCCTTGCGGATGTGGGGGGTGGGGGGTCACTTAAGCCGACTACTGTTGGTACATCTTTGTTCACAACCAGCTTAATGTAATTATACCTCACCACCTACGCGCGCATTAGCATGCAGACGGTGTCGGAGGTTTCCGAAAAGACGCGCGGAGGAGTGCGGTGCGGCGCGCGCGGAGAGGCCTGGTCTTCTGAGGCGGCGTTCTCACGATGTTATCTTGTCCTCTGTGGAAATGAAGATAGCCGGCCACCTTTGTCACCACCCTCACATACTCTGGAGGGCCCCCCCCCCCGACCATTACTGGAACAAGGACCACTGGGCGCTGGGGGACACTCACCCAACCAGCTGCCCAGAGGGAAAAATAACACACACAGACAGATTTACTTGTGTAGCTCTTTTGGATTTGAATTTCTTTGCACAGGATGTTGAACTAGAAACAGGAAGAGGCCCACTGTGAGCCTTGACACATTATTAAAAAAGAGCATGGGAAGAGGGAGAAAATTCTTTAAGTCACGCGGGGACTCAACCTTCTATTGATTGTTGGCATTGGTTCATCGTGGGGGGGTTTTGCTTTTATCGAGGATACTCTCATGGCACTCTTTTTTCTATGCGGTTGTGGGAGCAATAGGATTATAAAGATACGAGAACCCCCCGCCGTGTTCTACAACAGTGTGCAAACAGAAAGAGGGACACGGACAAAAAGGGGGTTTTTGTAAAAAAACATAATATTGTGCGGCGCAGAACAAATTACAAAGACATCACGGAGCTTTTTTTTTTTTTTAAGAAAAAATACACACACGCACTTTTGTTGCTGTCATTCTGACTGTCTGGCAAATCCACCTCTTGTTTTCAAAGCATTTTTTCCCCTCTAACAGGTGCAAAACCTCTCAACTCAACACATCAAAGGGACACACGCACCTGCGAATAAATCACAGTGAATGGTAAGAATCCAGACGAGGCCCCCCCCCCCCCCCCCCCTAACACCAAAGAGGTAGGATTCAAAGTGCCTGATTTAATATTCATGAAGTGCAAGGCTTTGGTGGTTGAATGCTTGTTTACTGAGATGTGTCTTTTGTCCTTGGGACGGGGGGGACGGAGGGGGGGGGGGTCATATTCCACCGAGCAGCTGTATTTACATATGCCGGCGGTTTCGCCTCTGCATGACATACATACACATGCATCACACGTGACCGCGTGCATGTACCGACTAATGATTGACAGGCATTTTCAGCACGCTCCTGCCCTCCTCCCATGTGAAGTATTAAAAGCCGCACTGCTGCAGTTGAAGGAGCTAATGAGGGTTTCTGATTACTAAGTGTCGGTGCCTTCCGGGAGGAGCAGTTGTTCCAGTTGCAGCAAGTGTGGCCTCAAAAGAGAACTAGCCCCCTCGGGGGAGGGGGGGGCGAGGTGGTAGACAAGCAGTCAAGACGGACAGAAGTCACTGTCAAACACAACCTTGTTAATAAGCGCTCTTCTTTTAGATCAAGCGAGGTGAGATCAAGTTGAATGTGCAACAGGCCCCTTTTTGTCAGTGATGTGGTAAAAGATGGTGTTCAAGAAGTGCTGCAACCTTTTTGTCATGTGTGCACCTGTTCCCCCCCCCCACTCCCCTTCTGTTTCAACCAAAAGAAATGGTCATTAATTAAAAAGAACTTCGCCCTGCAGCTCGGTGTCAGAAGTGCACCTGCATCGAGGAATTGGCAGCCACGTAATCGCAAAATGAATATCTTGCATCTTTTTGCTCCCCCGCACCCCCTTCTTGCTGTATAATAAACCAGAGATGTATGTCACCTTTCTTTTCTTTTTTTTTAAGTGAATCACACCCCTACAGGGTTGGTGCTGTGTTGGTGTGTGGATCATCTAATTAATCGAGCTGAAACAAAGCTTGTGGAGAAAAGCCCATTTCCCTGGTGGCTACTTAAAGGAGGAAAGCAGCTGGTCAGAAGGTACTCTGGAGGAAGCATCAGCCACCGGAGAAGGTGGGATGCTCTTCACTTAAGAGCCTTCCTTTGAGTCGTGTTATTCTCCCACGCTTTCTCCTCTCCTATAGAACCACACGCACCTATCCATCCACCCATCCATCCACCCATCCATCCACCCATCCATCTCTTTCAGCCCCACGGGTGAGACAAGCTCATGCATTGTGACTTCAATCAAGCTTAATGCCTGATTGAATAACATGCTCTAAATTAATGTCTTGGTTTTGATATGCACTGAATAAAAATAGCGGGATTATTTTTCTCATTATTGCCCCCCTCCCCCGCACATGTTCTCCACAGCGCGCACAATATCGGGGTTTTGTTTATTGAATTTCTCGGGCAACCTGGTTATTGAACAGCTCGGTGGATCGACGGGTAACTCGTGCAGACCTGCTGCCCTCTGCTGGTGAAACCGTGAACTGCCAACAGTCTCACGTCTCGCGCAATGTAGGAGCACAATTACTGCAAAGGACACACGGTTTTCACCTTAATCTCAAAAAAGATGTAAACTGGAGAGATTTCACTGAAAGCCAAAACTGCAGATTTAAGTGTTTACCAGCAAAGTCAACAAATACATGGACGGATGTTGACGGACATTGAAGATGGATGGATTTATCGTTCTTACATGACTGTATCATTATTTCTCCAGAGACCCCAAAACCTATTATAAGATCAATCAACGTGATTATTGTTCTTTAATCAGAAACATCAAATGTCTGACTGTTCAGACATAAAAACTATAATTTGGAAAATGCTGCGTTGAACTATGTTGAAAGGAGTGATGACAATTTTTTTTCAACAGGACTTTCCACAGAAACATTGATCAGACAGAGAATGTCTTATTAAAGACACTATTGAGTTGCCTCATGGCAAATGTAGGATAAGATTTATCTGAAGCCGGACGCACTAATGTAGGAAAGTGAGGTTCTCGGCCTCTGCTGCTTTGTTTTAAACCAAGTCACCATACTTAAGAAAACTGTGCCCATTTTGATGTGGAAATAACCTTAATAAAAATGTCATTCAGTACAACAAAGTTACATTTCAAGTGCTTAGCCTACTCATTAAGTATATTTAAATAAGCCAAATACGACTGAATGTCTCAAAATAACATTGCCAAGTGCATTTGACTACATGAAACAACGCACCACTGATACTTTGTTAAAACATCTGCCCCTCCAGAGCTCTCAGGGGAAAATACTATCTCAGGCTACTAATTCAGTCCTTTATTTGACAGCTGGGCCTCCAGAGCTCACATGAACGCCCTCTATGCTGCACCCCCTCGATAGGCGTCTAATCCATCGCGGTCTTACGGCTCGGACGGGGCCGAACAGCCGGGAGCTGCTTGCACTCGCAGCGCCTCAGACCGCGTGGAGTCGAGTCGTCCAAACCACAAGAATGTCTCGCCCCCGTGCGACGAAGCGGCCTCTGCGGACTTCTGCTTGTGGTCGCGGGGGAACCGCCTGTAGCCGGTCGCAACATCGGCGGCCCGCTTCGCTGTAAAGTCAGTCTGGTGGACCGTGACGCTCCGCTCAGTCGCCTCGGGGCCGCCGTCAGCGCCAAGGTGGCACAACAAGTGGGGGTTTTGCTGTCTGTGATGATGAAGGAACTTCCTGCGCCCGACACCCTGGAGCATACCAACCACGTGGAATATATTGGTGCCTTTCAGGGTGCCGCGCGGGGACGGATCGAGGCGTTTCACGTTCGTACTCACGTGAGCGAAGACGGAGATGCTGTCTTTCAAGGCATGCTTGTTGTCGTGTTCGGAGAACGGATGCTCTCTGGTTATCTGTTGAGAAAAGCGTTTGATTGGAGACGGTATCGCGTGTGATACAACCGAACGCAGTAGAATGGGATCAAATGTCGAGGCGGTTTCTTTCTTTGCAGAAGGGCAATGGAATCGTTCAAAGCCCGGGGCAATAGCACTAAAAAAAACAGTAACAGTAAATGCCAAGAGATATCATCTCGTACAAGCACACACCTGCTGAGTATTCCATTTAGGATAGCGCACAATGTCCAAAGCCTGAGGCCGTGATGATTGAACCTGAGTCAGCATGAACACTGTGCTTGTAGAGAGCTCCCGACTCCAGGTCTCATTTTCTGGCGAAACTGGATGAGCAAACTGAGGGAAAAAAAAGGAAAGAAAAGCTCATTACGCAGCCAGGTATGAATGGAGTCATTTGTAATTTGTCTGATTATGTGTCAAAATGAATCATTTCTTACCCATTTGCCATCGTTGCTCATTTTAGAATATCGCTTTCCACCTTTTACCATTTTAATAGAGTTTGAAAGTAGTTCTGGCAATATAGCACACACATACACACACAGACCACCTTAACAACTGCAAACACACCGGTGACCATGGCAACAGGCTGCTGCATGCACAAACAACCTGAAATGGAGACGTGGAAATGGAATTCTGGCAGAAGAAGAAAATCAAAAACTAACGGTTAAATAATATGTTATGAATTTAAATGTACAATATTAAATTTACTGTATTTCTTTCTGAATATATGTTTGGAGAATTAGACCGGAATCCTTTTTGAGGGGTTCTACAGTTCAGTAAAGGACAACAACATTTGTTTATTTTGATCTGTGTTTGAGATGTACGATGAGGACACATTTAATTTCAATCATAAAAAGGTTTTATTTTTATGGATGACAACAATGTTTTTTTAATTTTTTTAAATAAGCTAAGCTAATAAGCTACTTCATTTTCATGGCACTGAAAAAGATTTCAAAAATGAATACATACTTTTACAAAACGACAAATAAAAATGGGATTGTTTTTCAATTTTATTAGGAAATGCTAATAATTAAAAGTTGTTTTCAAAACATGTTAAAATGTACAAATGATCCCATGTGTTTGAACTCTTTTTAAACGCGTTCTTTGACTTAAGTTCGTTCTTTGAAAATGGTTAATGTGATTTTCTTTACAAATAAACAAAGTTAATAATTGAAAAAGCCACATGGTCCCTAATACAAATCCCCGATTGTACAACAACACCATCTTCTACGAATGAAATGATCAGAACTGGATGAGCAGGAGTGGTTTATCACCTCAGGTGGTACTTTTTTAAAATCTTCAGTGAGAGAAATTAAACGGGGCAAACAGATGTGATAAAATAACAAAACGTAGAAATGAAATAATCTTTAGGTTGATTAAAAGAACAGATGAGAAACCAACACTTCTAGTTTCAAAGTAATCTTTCTGGAACCAAATATCTGAAAATTATTTCTTTCAAACACATTTAAATAAAGAACAGAGCGATGAAAAATGTGCATGGATGTGACCTTTGTGTTGAGAACCGTTGTCTCCGGGATCCAATGAGAATATCAGACTTGAGCCGCCTCGGAGACGTGGTTGTGGTCTGAGTGATCCTGGTGAATATCTTTTGTATTATTGATCCCTGAGGACAAGACGAGCATTAAAAAAAAAAAGGTTTAAATCACATGTTTTATGTTGTGTAAGCATAGATAGACACCTCGCCCGAGTTCATCATTTTTGCTGCATAGATACTGAAGGTACTGGATGTGGCCACGCTGTACACGAGCATGAGGCACTTAATGGTCACTATGGGGATCTGCTTTGAGCTCGCCTCTCGTTCCCCACGAGCCAACTGAATCATTTGATGAAGGCTAAATGGTCAGTCGTTAGCGCTGTTAGTGCTTTGTTGATCACAGCAACGTTTTTTTTGACCTCATCAGCTGCACCCTCTTGATTAAGGAGGTCATAAGGATGCTCCTGATGAAGGATCTTGGTGCCTCGGAGGGTCGGTCCGTGCAGCACAGAGTTGCACTAATGGTTTTGAATGAAGAGGCTCGCACCCGTTACGTTATTCATTAACACTTGGAAATAAATGCTGGTTCTTACTCGGAATGACGGATGAAGGTGTCTCCGTTTCCCCACTGCGAGAGCTCGTCACCATGGGAACGTTCTCCTTCCTCCTCTCCTCATGGAAGTGCTTCTTCAGCGGTTTGGCCAAGCGACGCCATCTGGCGAGAAGCAGTAATCAGCGGCAACTTCAAATCTCAACGACTGCACAACTAAATTCTCGTCTTCGAGTCCCGTTACCTTTCCTGCGTTTCGTTGTATTTATTTAACCTGTCCGCCACCTCCCCTTTCTCCTGCAACCATCGCCGCAGAAGTTCGTCTTTCTCTCTCCGGGCCCGTGCCAACGCCTCGCGCAGTCCTTTCTGCTCCGCACGCAGGGCCGCCAACTCTTTGGACTGACACTCAACGGTGTACTCCAACCCCGAAAGCGTTGCCTTCAGGGTGTTGCTCCCTTTGGCCAGAGTGAGGGCCTCTCGACGGTAGCGGGACACTCTGGAACAAGCAAGCGGTAATGACATCGTGGACCAGCGTACCTTCCATCACCTCCGGATGTTGTTACTTCACTAACGCCTTTAAGCTCATTCGTGCTTCTTCGTCAAGGTGTTTCTGTTCAAGATTTGAGTCTGTTGATTATCAAATACAGGGCAGGAACAGAAATGTCAAGTTTGTTGTTTTTTGTGTGCTGAAACTGGCCGTATTTGCGAAATGTTTTATCCATAGTTCACAAAAATACTTGCTCAATGACCTGATTGATTTTTTTTATTTTTGTTTTGTGTTGATAATATATTTTTTAGACCTCGAGGTTATATAAAAACTCCATAATACCCGTAATAATATATCTAGACTGTATAGATATGTTGAACAAAAAATACAAAAACTATATATATCCAAAAAAAAAGGTGGCAAAATGTGACCAGCAGCCCTGTTTTTCTTTCAGTTTTGTGTAAAGAAAGCAGAGATAACACATTGTGATGGCTGAGGTTAAAACAGGAAATTACCGTGACTGCCAATACTGCAGTTCAGCCTCTTTCAGAGATAGGACAGCGGTCAGGTCGGAGACAGTCTGGGACAGCTGGGGACGCAAAAAAAGAAATGGTTTAATTGATTGAATGGTGGACAGACGGAGGTTCAAAGATCACTGCCTGCCCTGCACACACCAACTGATGTTTATTCTAATTATCAGAACCCTGCCTGAGGTGTTTAGCAGATAGTTGTGCAAACTGCTCATGCGCGTATAACGAGATGTTATGGTGTTTATCAGTGATTTCCCACTTCACCTTTTCTTCAAGGTGTTCACTCTCTCTCAGCTGGAGTTGAAGGAGTCTGGTGTTTTTCCCAACTTCAAATCCACCTGTTCCCAAACTGAAAAAAAGGTGCAATAATCAAAAGCTAAAAAAAAACCAATGACAAACATAATTATTTTTTTTTGCATCAAAGTCATCCTAAGCCAAAAGTTAGTGTGGTGAAATTCCACTTCTCTGACCTCTTGGACTGAACATCATCCACAATTTGTTTGCGAATTTCAAAACGTTCCTCCAACTGAGCCACTAAAAGAAAACAGACACATGTCCTCAGACCAAGACATTGATCATTTCACAGGTTGAAACAGAAACAATTATGAATCTCACAGCTTGTGAAGACGCCAGCGAACGGGACCTTCTCAGTTTGGTCTCTCCGCTGCAGCTGAGCACGCACGTGATTCTTCCAGCTCGCCATTGTAATAAAAACTAATATGTCACACGGTCACAACAAATTTCCCGAGGCGGCGAGTTTGATAAATCTTCTGCTGACGGTTGATATTAGTCGAAGACGAAATGATTATTTACACGCAAGTTGCATATTATCCTTCAGTACAGGAATCGCATGCCTGAAGCAAAGTTTCTCAGCTCCTCCCTGTTCAGTCGTGTCATTATATCGTCTGACCACTAACCCATGCCTATAGTATAATATGATTAATTAATGCAATGCTTTTTACTTTATGACCACAACGAATAAATGTCTTTTCGTTGTTGTAAAAAGTCCTATTTTTACATTCTATTTCTACATTATGAAAATATATCTGCAGCCACCACTGAATTTAATATTTAATGTACAATTTAATATAATAAAACGTAATTTGAAATAATTTGACTTGATTAGGTAGTTTTTTTTTTGCCATGTTAGTAAATTTCTGAGTAAAATGCGACGTAACGGAATGGAAGGTGCTCCATGTTTCTAGAAAAGTTCCTTCAACGGCTCTGGAAGTACTTCCGGTTCATACATTTTTCTCAAAAAACGGCAGTTACTGAAATATTTCCAAGAAAACGTGGTAAAGTTATACTTTTACAAATCGTTTATCTTTTAATTAAAATTTGGAGTAGTTCTGATTGCCGTAACAGGGAATAGTACGCGTTTTGGTGGTTTGTCTTCGTACGACACCGGAAGTTGTTACTTCTGCTAATAACGTGTGGCCAAACAACAACAGACAGGTGATGGGAAGAGAAGAAGCGTCATTCGTAACTCCTCAAGTAAAGGCTAAACACTACTGAGGTTAGCTAACCAACAACGGCGTCTCGTGTGATTGCGGTGCTTCGTAAATGTAAGAAACGTGTAATTACACTTATTTCGTGCAGCAGCTTGTGAGTCCGCGGTGCTCCTCCGAGGAGTTAGCCAGGCAGGCTATCCAACTTAGTTACAACATTTCCCCCCCAGACAATTAACGTATCACTGCGCGTTGTCCACGGGTCGACCGCCTCGAGTCGTTCGAGTCATGGACGAGTTGCCTGGTTGTTAGGAAACGGCCTGCGTGTTTCTGGGGGGTTGAACGGTCGCAAGGTCCCCCAGCTCATCATGAGCTCATCAGCCGAGGACCGAGAGCCCGGGACCCTGCAAGACAATGCCGCGGAGGACAGCGGTGGTCCTGCCTGCGCGGGAGAGAGCGGCAAACACGTGAGTACCCGACGCGTGACGATCAACAGACGCGTCTTACTTCTCCGACCAGGAACCGGCTCTACTTTCTCTCCGTCCCCTCAAGGACTCCGCGTGCGCGGGCAGCGAGATAAAGAGCCGCGCCGTGGTCAAGTACTCCGCCGCCCCGCCTCCGACCAGCTACGCCCTCCTGCAGGAGAAGACCGACCTGAAGCTGCCCCCTGCCAACTGGCTCAGAGAAAACCCCCAGCTGGGCAGCGCCGGCACCACCGTGTTGGGGTCCAGCAGCAAGAGCAAGCCCTTTTCCAGGTAGAACCATCGCCCACCACGTCTGCTGTTTGTCGTCCTGGTCTAGTGTGCAAACCGTGCTGGTCTCCGTACAGTCGTTAAGTACGGTGTCTCCAACCGGTACGCCCTACTCGCCCGTATCAGATGAGCATGCATATCCCCTTTGGACAACAACGTGAAGGTAAAAGGCCCCACTTTCTTCTTTTTTGCAGTTTTGGGATGGCCTACGAGTTCATCGACTGCATCGGGGATGACGTGGACGTGGTGTCAGACTCGGAGGTTTGTGGATCTCTTTCAAAGCTCGAAAACGTGCAGGTGTACTCAGGGTGGGGGGGTAACATTTGTTTTCTGTCACATTCAGAACATCAAGAAGCTCTTGAAGATTCCCTACAGCAAATCCCACGTCAGTATGGCTGTTCACCGCGTGGGGAGGACGTTGCTTTTGGATGAGCTGGACATCCAAGAGCTCTTCATGCGATCCTCTCAGGTACACCCCAGGCTTTGTCCGTGTGACATTTGTTAAGCATTGTGTCTGAGCCCACGTCGTGTGTGTGTGTGTGTGTGTGTGCGTCGCAGACGGGAGATTGGACGTGGCTAAAAGAGTTTTACCAGCGACTAATCGATCAGAAGTGGCAGAGGAAGAAGAAGAGCAAAGAGCACTGGTATCAGAAAGCCATTCTGTCAAAGTTCCTCTACTACAGGTGAGTACGTAGTGTTAATAAACAATTAGGGAGTTAATTGTTTATTGTTGTTGCCTGTTAGGCTACACTTCATTTTAAGGCTCATATTTCCCCATCTGATCCGATCACAACTGCTGTCTTTAAAGTATAAATGGTGATGGAGCGGCGGAGCCTGTGGCCGACAACCGGAATGAACCCGAGCAGGAGAATGAGGAAGAGGAGTACAGCTCTTCGTGGCCCACAGCCTTCACCAGAGCGGCGTCCGATATTGGAGAATCAGACGCTCCCAAGCAGGTACGGAGGCTTAACGGCTCGTCTTCAACGAGGCAGTGTTGCTTCAGAACGTATTCTCTTCTTGATAAGGAATTAATCCTGTGTGCTGTTGCCAATCGGCACTTTTTAGTAAGTAGTGAGATGAAGTGCTTTAGAAAGTGAGTGTTTTGTGTATTAGAATGGCTCCTGTGTAAATGCTGAGCTTACTACGGTGTTAAACGTGCAGGGAAGTGTTTCTATGGACAGCCAGTTTGCTCTGGGCCAGGTGACCTCCGTCCCCAAAGAGCAGAACCTCCCGATTGTCTTCGATGAAGGAGAGAACAGCCAGGTAACGCCACATTCTGCCCCGCCTCGATGGTTTGCCTTCACTGTTGGTGGCCCGTGGCTGATGTCTGTGCACACTTTGACACCGCCTGTGGCAGGGTTTAAGAAACGACTTTGTCCGGAACATCATGTGGACGTTTGAAGACATCCACATGTTGGTGGGGTCCAACATGCCCATTTTTGGAGGCGGCCGCTATCCTGCCGTCAGTCTGAGACTCAGGTGGGAATTTTAAACCATTTGCTTCCATTGATCTGAAATTCATTCATGTGATACGGATCGCATTGCACTTCTATTGGTGCAAGATAAAGCACATCAAGGTATGCTTACTTTATCCGGCTCTAGAAGGTGAACATTAAATGTGATTTTTCCTGTTGTCACCTCATCAGAATTACATGTGGCTGCCACTACGTTGTTCCTAGTTACCCTTATCTACCCTTTTAACCTTCTAACTTGCTTTTCAGGGACAACAATAAACCAATCAACATCCTGACGGGTATTGACTACTGGCTCGACAATCTGATGTGTAATGTCCCGGAGCTTGTCATGTGCTTTCACGTCAATGGCATTGTTCAGGTAAAAATGTATTGTTATTAGTATTATAGTTAGGCTTCAGCTTCAAGTGGAAGCAGAATACAGCTGTGTTTTTTAATACTATGTCTCTGTTGTAAATCGTTTTTAATAACTGAATGAACAAAACAACACATTTGATTTTTTCCTGCAGAAATATGAGATGATCAAAACGGAGGAAATCCCTCATCTGGAGAATTCAAACTTCTCCACAAGGGTGGTAAAAGACATTGCTCAAAATATCCTCTCTTTCCTCAAGTCCAACTGCACCAAAGAGGGTCACACCTACTGGCTCTTCAAAGGTGGGAGATAAGTGAGCAGGAAGTCTTAACCCTGTAAAACCCTTAAATCTCCAAATCTTCTGATGTTATTTCTTGAATCCACAGCTAGTGGGAGTGACATTGTGAAGCTTTATGATCTTACTACTCTGTGTGAGGAGGCAGAAGAGGAGAAGTGTCAGAATCCCTTCACTCTTCCTGTCGCAGTGTTACTATACCGGTAAGTATCTGGATAGGAGCATGTTGAAGTTTTCGAAACTGCGAAGGGTCAATACATTTTAGGAGCAGCATTATATGGCAATATTTAAAAAATGTTTTCTAATCCAAAAATAACTTTTGACATTTAATATTTTACCAGGATTATGTTTTTTTTTAAATTCTTATTTTCTATTTTTCTACATGTTTACTATTTGGTTAAGCAGAGCAAAACTCTTAAAATACTAAGAGTTTGATGCGTTGTTTTAACAAATTTTGTTGTGCTTGAAGACACCAGATTAACACTGAAAATGTGCAAAATGTAAAGAGTTCTATTTTCCTTCCTTTGCTTGCAGAGTTGCCAGCAACTTGATGCTGAAGGCGAGGCAAAACAGAAAGCACTACGGCACAATCCGAACGCTGCTCTTAAACTGCGTCAAACTTCTGGATGAGGAGCGGCACCCCCAGGTAAGCGAAATGGCCCCAGAGGAGGAAGAAGAGGACAGACTTGATAGACGTGGACGCTGAATTTAAAGGCTGCCAGGTTAAACAGTAGATGTCACACAGGGAAACAAAATGACAGATCATACAACCTGAATCGGTTTTTCAGTCATCAGGAAAGTGAAAAAGTGAAACCACTTGACTCTTATTTAGATTTGATTAAACATGATCTCCATCTCTCGCCTGTTCAGATCATGGCCTCCGCCCACTACATGCTGTCAGAGCTGTTCCAGCTCGACGAGCCGCCGGAGGGAGACGGAGGGGAGTCGCTTCGGGCCGGCGGATCAGAGGACAGCTACAGCGACGAAGACGGGGAGGAGGAGGAGGAGGAGCTGACGGAGGACAGTGATGAGAACTGCTCCTACAGCTCCTCCAGCCCACAGGATGATAGTAAAGCTGTTGCCGTGATCCGCTCCGTCTGGGAGCTGTCGGTCCCGGAGAAATACAAGTCCACTCATCAGATCAGAGTGAGTGCCCCACCGAAGGTCCTGAGGGGACAGTGTGGAATATACAGATAAATATGTTGTAGCGGATGGGAACACCCCGAAACGTAACCGTCCCTTTTTTCGATCCCTGCAGCCGACGGGCGTCTTCCCTGTCTCTCAAGACAAGGAGGAGCGATGCAGACACGTCCTGAGCTACGTGCTGAAGGCGAGTCTCTGCGTGATATTTATGTCTTGGCTCCACACAGCGCTAATGGTGTGAAGTGTCGCCGCTGACGACGATGATGATGATAATGACTGTAACACGCTACACAGGGGCTGAAGGCAGTGGATGGCACCATCAAGAAGGAGAGCGATCTCCCAGCTGCAGACCCCAACACACCCATTCCCCTAAAATACGAGGACAAAAGTGCAACCGGAGCCTGCGCTGCGGAGCAAGGCATCTCTCTTCTGGAAAGGGGTCAGTCCTGATGTAAACCACATAACAACAACAACTCTTTATGTGTCTGCCTCCTGGTATTCTGACGTGTGTGTGTGTGTCACCAGCGAGGCCCTTGCAGGTGGACCAGAAGCACCCGACACGCTCCGGGATGATCCCCTGCTCGTGGCAGCATCGCATGAAGCTGCAGCTCTTTCTCAAAGCGTCCAAGGCCTACTACGTCCTGTCAGACGCCGCCACCAACCTGCTCAAGTACGGGCGAGCCCTGCGCTACATCAAGCTGTCGCTGCAGTGTTACGGTGGGTGTCTTTAATTCTGTGACACACCGTGATGATAGTTATTTGTTGTTTTGAGCGGTACTTTGATATTTTACAATCAATGTAATCCTTCCTTTTTTTCCCCTGCCGCTGCCTCCCAGATGCCTATTGTTCAGTGAGTGGTCCACTGAACCCCCACGTGCTGCAGTTTCACAGCCAGTGCCTGTCTCTGTGTGGGGACATCCAGCTGATGTTGGCCCAGAATTCCAACAACAGGGCAGCGTACCTGGAGGAGTACAGCTACCAGACCAAAGAGGACCAGGAGATCCTGCATAGCCTGCAGCGAGAGAGCAGCTGCCAGGGTCAGTCACTCAAGAGATGTACAAATATTAAAGCACACAACTGCAACATTTCTGGCTTGACGTATTGAAATTGGGGGCGTAACACTTCTTGTTGCATCACGTTGTTCATGTATTATTTAATAATGCCTTTAGTCTCTCTCCATTAGCCTTCAACATGGCGACGGACCTGGCCATGGACCCGGAGTACCAGCTGTTTGTTAGCAGTAAGTGCTATGAGGCAGCCTATGAACTGGTCATCTCGGAGGCTTTGAAAGATCACGCCACCGATCAGCTGGCGCAGGTGCTCAAAAGGCTGGGAAACATCCGCAATGAGATGGGAGTCTACCACATGAACCAGGCCGCGGCCATGCAAACCGAGAAAGAAGGTTTGTTAGAAACGTGAACAGAAAAACAGTTCAGTTAGTTATTCCTTTTGAAATGTGTAGATGCAGCCCTCTGTATTTATACATGCGATTTACAGAACCCTCTGAACTTATATTATTGCTACATTGCCCATGTTGCTGCTTCTAACTTGCCTGCGCCCTCCCCCCGCCCCTTTCCCCCCTCCACTTCTAGTGAAGACGTCTGTGTCCATAGCGGAGCAGGAGATGTGGAAAAAGAGTTTTTCCTTCTTTGAGAAAGGCATGAAGGACTTTGAAGCCATTGAGGACAGCACCAACACGGCCTTGCTGCTGTGTAATACTGGCAGGCTGATGAGAATCTGCGCTCAGGCCCACTGTGCCGTGTCTGCCGACCAGAGCCGGGGGGAGTTCTCGCCTGAAGAGGCCCTCTACTACAACAAGGTGCGATTTCAAACCCTTTATGTCTCTCTTAAGAAGCTTTTTTTTGCAACTTGTCCTCTACGTCTCCACACCTCAACCCTCTTCTGGTGTGCTTCTCATTATGTCTTTATTCACCCCAGGCCATCGACTACTACTCGAGAGCTTTGAAGTCACTGGCGAGTCGAGTGAACCACCCAGCCGTGTGGGACAGTGTAAACTGGGAGCTGTCCACCACCTACTTCACTCTAGCTACACTTCTGCAGGACTACGCCCCGCTGTCCAGGAAGGCCCAGGAGCAGGTGAGATTCTTTCACTAATATTCTGAATGAATCAAAATGGCTTTGATCTTAACGCATCTTTGCTACTGAATGGACTAACCTGTAAAAATCCCTTTTGTTGTTGCAAAAATGAAATAATCCTCCCTGAAGTCATCCCTCCCTGTTGGTTTTCCCAGATTGAGCGGGAGGTGACTGAAGCGATGATGAAGTCCCTGAAGTACTGCGACCTGCAGACGGAGTCGGCTCGTCAGCCGCTCTACCAGTACAGAGCTGCCACCATCCACCACCGCCTGGCCTCCATGTACCACAGCTGCTACCGCAACCAGGTGCCAAAACATGAGTTACTGGCGCTGCAGCTACATATTCGAGTGTCACACACACGCACATAGAATAACGTCTGTGTGCGTTTCCCCGCTCCCATTGTGTGACAGGTGGGGGACGAACACTTGAGGAAGCAGCATCGCAGCCTGGCGGAGCTTCACTACGGCAAGGCGGTCTGTTTGTTCGTGAGCCTCAAAGACGCACCCTGTGAGCTGCTCCGCACGCTCCTGGAGCGGGTGGCCTTCGCCGAGTTCTCCATGGCGGGTGAGTGGCCGCCGCCTGTCGTCGCGTTCGACTCTGTCGAGAGGCGCGTCTTTTCCACCTCCTGAGGCCGCTCCGTTGTGTTGCCGCAGGTCAGACCAGCAATGCGGCCAAGCTGAAGAGCCTGACTGGAGCGCTGGAGCTCATGGCAGAAACCCGCTGTGCTTTCCAGCTGATTCACAGAGAGCTGCTGGAGGAGCAGGTGGAGGTACGTTTCAGGGGAGCAGATGGGAGGGATGACGCGTCGTGTTTGAGAAGCCTTTTTCCGGGTTATGGATCACACACCGAGCTTTTCATTTCTTGGGCCGTAGTTGATCGAACCAGACGCGGCCGGGTCGGCACGCGCATCTCCCGATGCGGCCGGTGGCCCCGCCTCAGGACTGAACCTCCCGGAGGTGATGAAGTTAATTGAGGTGTTTGAGCCGAGTTTCTCCTTCCTGCTGCTGCAGCTGATCAAGCTGATGACGACGATGAAATGGAAACCAAGGTGAGCAAGAAAAGAAGGCCGCCGTGGCGATATCCTTTTGACTTTTACCGCCCCCCCTCCCCTCCTGACCAGCTTGTTTGTGTTTAAATAAAGCAATAAGGATGAGGAGCGGTTGAAAACCTACAAGAATGTGTATTCCAAGCTGCTGCGAGCCGAGAAGAATGCGCCTCTCCTCAGGCGCGTGGAGCTCCACATTGAGCTCCTGCAGCAGCTGACCCCACAAGCAGGAAGCGACGACACGCATTCATGATGTCGTGGACCACAGCGAGGAAGACGCTCCACACCGTAACTCCCTCTGATTTGTGGAAACTTTTTATCAACAGGCAAATGCTCAGGCAACATAGAACAGTTCAAAAGCTAATTTCACCTTCTGCGCCTTTTAAAACGAGCTAATAGTTTTCTAACATTTGCATCACAGATATTAATTGTACATTTTAATGCAAAGAAGAACTGTAAATTCAGAAGCTATTATTTCATTTTCTTGTTGCTAAAGCAGTTCTTGGTCACATGTGAGGCTCCAATGTGTAGAATGTGTTGTTGGCTGTACCAGACCTCATTTCTCTACAAAGTTAAAACATACCGCATACGGTTTAATGATGGTATCATCGCATAGAACTTCTTCGCACAGGGGCTTAAAAAGAGATCATTCAGCACATGCTCGCAAAAATGATGATCCGAATGAATATAATTGGTGTTTTTGATATTCAATAATACCAGTAATGCTGTGAATAAAATAGATTGAAGTGTGATCGAGATTTCCAAAACAACCGTGTGCAATAGTTTGGCAACATTTAATGCAAACTCAGCGGCTGGTTAGTATGAATATAAGTTTATATCTGCATGGTTTGCTGCAACATGAAAATAAAGTTTTTAAATTTGATGCACTGTATTTGTAATGTAATGTCACACTCGTGATATCGTCGAGCATTGTAAGGCATCACTAAAAGCAAATGTGCGCATGGGCAAATATGACCCGTAGCTCACTACATTTTAGTTTAGTAAATCACATCTTTGGACAACACACATTAGGGTCCGACATCAGTCCGTCTAAACATTGCATGTTTGTAAAATGCTTTAAGTGTGTCGGCCTCGCCGTTCAGCTCGGGTCGCTGGAGACGGGACACAGTGTTTTCAATGCAGTGTCAGTGAATTGGGTCAGTGGTTCACTAACGGTGTAGTGAACCGGATCCACACCAGATGGAGCTGCAGGTGGGCCCGAGCGCTCCCTGCACCTCATTAATCACGCCGGACCCTCAAGGCCGGGGGTGAAGGTAAGACGGGAGACGCAGCCACAGAAACACTCAAATCTTCAAGGGGACCTGGATAGATAAATAGATACTTTATTGTAATAATAATAACCGTGTGTTTGAGTAGAACACAATTTGACATTTGAAACTCTGAGAAATGATCCGACCAGGAGGGACCAATTGGCACAAATGGGACAGAATATTCACAAGCGTGTTTGTTTAGGTTGTTAATCAGCAGAAGATAACGCAACCTTTGTAAGCTTAGAATGGGCTGTTTCTACAGAGCGCCATGTGTAGAAACCAGACTCCGATCTACTTAGGAGACGTTTTGCAGCCACGGTCCGTCCTCTTACACGCTTAGCAATCAGATGTTGAATAGGTGGATTAATACATACACCGAAAATCAAGACTAAAAGAGCAATTGATGTTTTAATTAAATATATTAATGCAGTTATTGAACAACATGGTATTGTGATGTATTGTAGCGTAGAGGGATAAAAATTAAAATATATGATCAACCATACCAATGGAAAGTGTGTTTCCGTTCAACATAGTACAAAATGTCCTCCTTGTTATTTCATCCCAATCACGGGGAACGTGGGGTCCGTTATTCACTGGATGACACAGCGCTCAGAAGTCTGCTCCTCCTCTGGTTTGTCCGCTGAGGTTGGCGGTTTCTCCTTTTGGTACTGAGAAAAAAAATACTGTGGTGCCATCGGAATAAACCTAGGAGGGGAGGACATTGTTTGATTTTTAGGAAGGACAGTCAAACATATTTTTGTGTGAACTAATCTTTTCTTTTTTTTTCCAATTTGGATCGGTTTCTTTCAGAGGAAAAGACTTACATCCCTTCCAATAATATCTACTCCTCACGGCAGTGAACGGATCGACACATTTCAAGGTGTGGAACCTTACAGTGAATGGCAAAAGGCTGCAAAGCTTTCCCTTCCTCCATTAAGCTGCAGCTCTTCATTCCCAGGGATCCGTGCTGTCCATAATCCCTTCCAACCAGCTGGGATTAGGATACCTCCCTGCACCACCTGCATGACTAGTCTGTGCTCAACCGGGGCTTTACATCTGGACCAAAAGGGAACGGGAATGAGTCGGCCCGATTGGGCTCGGAGCTCCTTTGGATGTGCAGACACGACGGGTGGTCTACCGGGTTCACAAGACCGCACGGCCCAAAAGTAGACCCAATTTCAACCCAATTTACTCCTCCGGCGTTGTCCTCGGAGAAGGAGTGCTCGTGGAACAGTACCCACTCGGGCAGGCCCAGCTTGGGGACGGACAGCGGATGGATCTGTGCCACGCGCTTGTGGCTCAGAATGAAGTAGTTGCCTGATCCGTCCACATCCCGCGCCACCTGAGGGAAGTCAGTCACAGTTGGATGGGTTTTTTTCACCAAAAGCGACTGGAGTCACTTTACTGATTAATTAAAGGCCTGAAAAGCACAGAAAAGGCTGATTTCTTTGAAGAAACCTTTCAAAAGCTGAAATACCGACCCAGTGGTGGAGAAAAGTGAGGGTTTAAGGGCAGTCATTTAATAAACAGATATAAATTAAACTCATTGAGGCAAGACAACATGTTTTAATCTGTTAAAGTAATAATTGTATCATGTTTTTGGTGAGCGGTATCATAAACACGTGTTTTCTTGACCTGCATGAAGAAACCCGCCAGCAAGGCTCTCTCAATGTCGAGGGTGTTGTTTGGTGAACCGAAGGCGGGCGCCGAGACGGGCAGCTCGATCCTCCTCAGAGCGTCGGTGAGGTCCTCGTTCAGGCACCGGTCCTCGCACCTTTTGTCCACGTCGCAGTCTGGCAAGGGAGGAAGACACAGCCGAGGAGACGATTACACGAATCAATGGGACGTTTTTCAGGATGTTAGAATTAGTTATTTTCATTACAATTCCATTTAACGTGTTTTGCGAAACGTCACCACGTGATTTTTGCAGCATCTGTTCTCACATGGATCTTGCTGGCACTGCTCAAAGGCCCTGTAGATAATGATGAGGGTGAAGTGGTCTCCCTGTGGATGGAGCTCCATGTGGCCCCGGGTCGACCCCGGCTCAGGGAACCGTGAAGCAAGTTGGTGCTAAAAACAAACCACGAGGAACGGGATGTTCAGAACCTACCGTTTGCTCTATAACACTATACAACAGATGTTTGTTGGAATGGAAGTGCACCCCGTTACGTGTTAGCATGGCAGCGGCGATGACCACCTCGCTAACACAGTTTTGGCCACCTGGGGCTTCCAAGGGGAACTCGGACATGATGATGCCCACCTCGGAGAGGTTGCCATCATTATCCAGAGCTGCGAGGAAGTCTAGCTCCTCCAAAGTCTGCATTAGGCCTTCAGGATCTGGGTTGGAAAGGTTTTTAGATTATACATTGTTATTTTTTGTTGACAAAATTAAATCTTTAATTTTATCAACAATCCAAAGGCCGGCACTGGGAACTAAATCCTTAAAAAAACAGTAAATTAATGTATTGATGTCTAGAATTTACTCTGGGAGAATATTAATTACATACAAATGTACTTTGACTAACAGAGGATTATTATTATTTTTTTTATCATGTCTGAACTGTCGGCTAAAGTGGTGATTCCCTGGGAAAATCCCCTGCAGTTTACTGGCACCCTGGTGGGCGAGCACGAGTAAAAAGGCAGCAGAAGATTAGGATTTTATAATCCTCATCAACATCTACCCTGCGTCACTTTGCAAAACGAAAACTATGTCTCTTCTGCCTCTGCAAAAAAAGACTTACTTTTCAGTGAAGTGAGACAAAGACATGGACACAGAGAGGGAGTGAATTAAATCCACCGTAGATGCTTTCTATTAATTAGTAATCTTTACTCCCACAGACCAACACTACGTCTATGCTTTAATCAACTAATCTCACTGCGTGTGTCTGTTTGTGTTGGTGTCAGTGGGGGTGGGTGGTGGGGGGGGGGGGGGGGGCAAAAGCACATGGAAGCAGGTCAGCTCTAAAAGGATGCCGGCAGAACAGGAGCTGTCAGTTCAGCTGAGGCACGGCTCACCGCCCACCAACAACAACAACAAGAGGGAGCAAAATCCACCTCTCGTTATCACTGAAGACGACGGGGAATTTGTGATGAGGAAACAACACGCGCTTAGTCCATAAAAATCTATAATTAATAATGTATTTGTTGCTTGTTCTAAACCTCACCCGGCCTGTCGATGAAGTCACAGTGGCCCAGGCCGGCGATCTGCATCCTCTTCAAGAAGAGCACCGTGGAAGAGACGTCCGACTCCACAACATGTGGCCGAGTCTCCGTAGGAAGCCGTCTGTCCTCTGGGTACAGACAAAAGCACTTGCCTTAAGTAATCTGAATTTGACCAGATGTAGTCGGAGAATTTGAAGGAAATTGGCTCATGTAGATCATAGTGGTAGTAATAGTAGATCCGACTGTCCTGCTTATCCCTGGGTCACACTTTGGGGATGTGTACTGTCCGTCTGAAGTGAAATAATCGTGTAACTATTGATTGTTGTTTCCTTTTAGTTCGAACCTGAAATTGACCAAAAGTAGTCTCATGAAGGATTTTGAAGGTGGATGAAAAAAATATATAATTTTTGTTTATTTTACATTACATTATTGTATATTATACATGTCATTTAGCTGATGCTTTTATCCAAAGCGACCTAATTTAAACCATACAATACTTATTAAAAATATGAGATATTAAACACAGATATAAAACCAAAATCTTTCCTAGCAAGTACATATTTTTAAATCCTTTCACCGCCGGCTGCGAGTGAATCTGGGTGCTGGAAGCGGACTGACAGGCAGAACTGGGGAATCTGTTTTTCGAAATAGCGAGAGTGAGACACGTTTACATGACGGACGCTTCCCCACTATAACGACGGGGGGGTCCAATGTCTCCCCTTTTGCATGAATAACAGGTGCAGTGAGTTACTCACTTGAGAACTTCTCCCAGTTTTGGCAGCGTCACTGACGATGACAAACCAACGAGTCCATGAAGTCACTCTTTGCGCTCCACTCTGGCAGCTCTTTCCTTCCTCTGAGAAATTCGTAAAATCTGGAGGAATACGGCAGTCCGTCAAACTGATTAAGCTCCAAGATGCCATCATTCTTTGTTACAATGAGAACTGGCTCACAAGCTGGTCATGAAGTAGAATGCATTTATTTATTAACGTTTGTTTCATTTTGTGAGTAAGAAAGTTGTAAAAGGGTTGAGCACAAATGTCTGCTCGACTCATCGGTGTTACTAAGATATTTTGAATATTTTGCATCTTATACAAGCTCAATAGTACTCAACAGTTGACGTTAATTGTTTATTGCTGACTGAAAAGAATCATTTTGTTTGCTTGTTTTTAGTCACAGGCATCATTTAATTGTTTTTTGCGTCATGTACTCTTTTGTTTGTGTTGTTGGAGCTAGTCCTTAATTAAGACTCAAGTGCATCTTCACCTCTTGGTTCGAGGCAGCACATTAAGAGAGAGATCAAGATTAAAGCGCTTGAGGTTTGGTAACGACCAGCGTTTTCAGGCAGGTGGCAGCATTGAACAAACCACAGCCGACCGCCATAGAAACAATGAAGTAAGACTTTCAATGGAGAAAATGACACGTTGTTGCCTGCTGCTTAGTAGAGGAGAGGATGAGCAAAGCCTCCGGGTTGTGTGGTTCTTTGTGGTTGCCATGGTGACTCTTGGTGGGTTTCTTACAGCGGGGTTTGCACTTCTCAGACGACGCTTTAGGCGCAGTCGTCCTCTCGGAGGCCAGAAAAACCAACAACAACAACAACAAAGTCTCATCGGTTAATTATTCATGCTCATCGAAGGGTGAAAATATCTTTCTTATGAACCCTTGTTTGTCTCTTTAACATCGACTCTAAAAGTTCATCTCAAGCCATTTTCTTTTTGAAGTTTGATCAAAGTGAGATTGCAATTAAAACAACTCGTTATAAACAGCCGTAAAGGGATTTTTATTTGGCTCCGAGTTCATCAATAAAATCTCTCATTTAAAATGTTAACCCAAAACATTCGTCCCTGGCTCACAAGTTACAGGTCCAACTCTTCAAAGTCATGTCTTCATCACCCAGCGATCCAATGGGGCACAACCTCAAAGCACTTCTTATATTACTGTGCTTTGAAAAAAAATAATAAAATGATAACATACAATATTGACTCTTTACAATGGTTTAAACAGGGCACACCGACGTAATTAAAACACAGCACATTTAAGATTCTTTTACAAATGGAATAAACATTTAACGGCTACAAACAGCACTCACAAACACAAACAGGAGAAGCATCGCTTCGGTACACGTGAGCGATTTACCGACTTCCGTCACTCTGCGATGTACGCTGCATTCCAAAACACTTCAACTACAAAAAGCGTCCTCCAAAGAGAACCCGTGACATGGAGAGAAAAAAAAAAATCCCACGCTGAACGCTGAAATGCTTTGACCAGCCGAATCCCTCCTCGTACAACAAATCACATTAAGGACATCTCCTAACTGGAGGAGCAATGCCAAGCTCTGAATGCATGAATAATCTCAGAGTTCAAGAGTATCAAATCGAGATGGAACGCTCTAAAAGTGTTGGACGCGTTGTTGTTGAAGTCATCCTGCTTGGCTGGAACACCCGAGGACACAGCGAGCGAGAGCGTTAAGCACACAAACAGCAGAGTAAATGTCGAGCTAATATCGGCTGTTGACGTCATTCTTCTGGAACAACAATCAGCCCGTCAATTCTGTCGAGATGGTCTGCCAGAATCCGGAGTGTGGAGCGATGTCCCGAGCTGTGTGTCAGAGCCGGACGGAAATGGGCGAAAAGCGCTTTTCCTATTAAGTACTTCGGTGCAAACCCCCTAAACCCCTAACCCTGAATTTATAAGGTAACAGAAGAGACCCCGTAAAGAGCAGTAAAATGAGCTGATCAAATCAATCCCACCATAAAAACGTAGTGTGAGGGTTTTATTTGGAGAAAATTCAGATTTGAATTAACCTTTTTTTAAGCACCGTGTCAACATGGATAGAAATGATGTATTTGGTACTGAAATACCAGCCACAGTGATAATGTGACGAGTTGTGCTCCATTTTCCTTTATCTTCACGTTAGCTCCAGAACAAACCCGCTTGGCTCTTCAAATATTCAAGCAACATAACTGGTTATAAAAACATCCTATATTTCAGCATTTCATTTCAGAGGAAAAGTGTAAAAATCAGCAAAGAAGCAAAAGAAATATTTGTTTTCTTTCTTTCGTGACAAGTCTGTGTGGGAAAGAAAATCCCTCTGGATGAGAGTCCTGTGCACAAACCGGTAATATCGCGGTTAAATAATAAATAGATAAATAGTTCATTGGTACCTGAGTGAGGACAACAAAGCACCTTTTAGAAACGTAGCACCGCGGTGTGATGTCAGCCACCTTCCCCCAGAAACTCTGCGATACTGTCCAAAAGGCCTTACAGAGTCCCAGTAACTAGTGCAAATACAGTCTGTCGGTGTGAGATCTACTCGTCCACGACGTCGCAAGCTCAGCTGTCCTTTGGAGCTTTGGGCGGTCTGTAGGGCAACATCGGCACAGGCCTGAAACAAGAGCATCCGCACATGAGACAAAATGTGTGTTACAACAATGCGTGTTAATTCAGTCGGCAATTAATGCTTTTAGACCAATGACTTTCATTAGTCTAAAAGCGCAAATACCTGCTGTCCACGACAGTATGAGCTAATGTCAAATATCTCATTTCGGGCACCTCGTAGCATCAATCTGAATAATCACAAGTCATAACAACAACAAACGTGGGTCGTCGTGGCGCAGGGGTTAGAGGGGGTGTGCTGGGAAGCACAAGATCGGTGGTTTGATTCCAGGCTGCCCCATGTTCCATGTCGAAGTGTCCCTGAGCAAGACACCTAACCCCTAATTGCTCCCCAGGCAAAAATGTGAAAAAGCCATGGGTTTAAAGTGTAATGTAAGTCGCTTTGGATAAAAGCGTCTGCTAAATGACCTGTAATGTAAAAGTCACAACGGTAATCTAGGTAGGGTTGAATAGAATGCCGTTGAAACAATATAAGAGGCGCAAGAGCAAGCTAGAGCCGTGTAATAAAGCTATAAAGTCACATACGTAATGACATTGTGTTTCAAAAAACAGGATACGCTAAAAATGAGCCAATTTTAAGTTTCCGAGGAAAGATGGTTGGTCTGTCCAGGGTGTGGCGCCAAGGAGGTTAAAAATTAAATTAAACTAAAGCCATTTTAATCAGACCAGCACTCGTATGGATGCAATTGTGAATATTTAAATACACTTTAAATTAAATTAAATACGCTGTATACAAGTGTCCCTCATGCTCACAATGATCATTCATTTAGACTTTAATGGAAGAATAACCATCTGGGATCAAGCTCGCAACTGAACAGAAAACACTTCACCTCCCCTCCTCCCCTCCCCTCCTCCCCTCTCCTCCCTCCTCTTGTGCACCAGGTGCCAAACGTGGTTCAAGCCCTGTAGCTCCAATCACGAATAAGGCTGAGACAAAACATTTTACGCGATGGACACGTAATCCATCACTCCAGCAGGCAGGAGAAGGCGACAGCGCTGCGTGGGATCTGCTGTCACGCCGCACTCACCTGTTGGGTAAAGGGATGGTGGGAGGAGGCCTGGGCACGGTGGGGGTGGGCACGGGGAGGGGGCCGGTTCCCGGGATGTGGACCCGTGCTGCTGTGAAGCTGTTGCCCCGTCGAGAGCTCCTCCCCAGTGGGTCCGCAGGAAGCGGTTTCTGAGGCGCACTGGGTTTCTCAAAGTCCTGCAGGAGAAACGTCACGTTTAGTCCAACGGGTGGAAAACTGCATACGCTGATTTTATTTTGTGTGTGTGCGACGAAACAGAACAGCCTTGTCCTGTTTTCAATGATACAGGATCCAATGCTGGAGGTGCACGATCAGGCATGTGCCTTGAGGAACAAGAGATTTATTTCCTAATTAACTGATTTCAAAGGAAGATTAAACCTGTACTAAATTATTATCAAAGCAGAAATTGAAAAAAAATCCTCATTTGAAAACGCAAAATGAATTACAAACACACGCCAAATCGCACGGCTCTTATCTTCAGACGCACTCTGTGGAAACCTGGATGGTATATCGCGTCCCCTTCTACCTCCCTTTGGATATGGATTAGCTGCACAGCAGCTATCTGGAGACAAAGACGGACGCGTTTCACTAGAGGGCACTGCGTTATCAGTTTCTTCCCTGCATTCCCACAGCACGCAGGAGATCGATTGCTCCCGAACCTCCTCCTCTTGTCTCCGCCACCTCTGAGGCAGAGCTGTGTGAGCGGAGAAGGTTATCTGCATGAGGGGCCGTCATGTGTTACTAATCTACAGCAGCGATGAACATCTGCTACCAGCTCTCCAGCTACTGTCACACGATGCACCAAAACCTCCCCACAACACAACACGCTCAGAGGAATAGGTGGACGAAAGTCAAATAATACGCACACAGAGAGGAAAGTGTTCCGCGTGGGTGAGAATTAGACAACTGGGAGGTTTAAAACATTCATGGGTGCAGTCGAGACGTGACTGACTTTGTCACATCAACAGAGCCTCGTAGTTTTAAACATTTGGAGTTTTCAGTGACTCGTTCCCAGATGGCCGGAGTGCATAAATGTGTCATGTCAGCAGAACTGTGCAGGGAGGATATTTCCAGTCTAACCAAAGTGTTTCTTCACTACACAACCAGAGGAGCGAAGATGGCCTCTTTTCACTTGCTTTTGCGGTTTGGGCCCTTTGCTTCCAAACGAGGTCGGACTTAGTTCTGAAACAAGCGGTTATATTTGAGACTGTAGCCGGTGTGGCAACGCTTACTTGTTTCTACGGTATCGTTGCTCATCACGCAAGCTTCAAAAGAAAGAACGGCGTTCTTGGCCTGAACAGAGAGAGCCGTGACCTCAACGCCATCCATCCTCCCCTTTGGGAGGACTTTGATAGATCTGCTCCAGAAGAAAGAGGGTCAACAAACACGTGTAGATGCATTTGATCCATACATCATTTTGACCATGCATGTCAGATTGGAATGATAATGATCAATAATACGATAATAATCTGCAATCCTCAAGTCGTTTGTTTCGTGCAACCACTGTAAGCCTGCTTGTCGTTATTCAAACCGCAACAGCAACAATTCACTTATGCAATACAATATTCATGAGCCACGGTGCCCTGTAGTAGTCTCTTTAGCGAGAGAATTACTTCTCTAACTCAAAACTCTCTGTTTACATCAGCCTAAAGCACTTCGGATGCAGTTAAAAATACAAGATGCCCCCGCAGAGGTTGAAATGCTACGACGCTTTAATCAGATGGAGCCATGTGAGCGGCTTAGTGTGATCGTTGTACTCCGACTCTGAATCACAGCCCCGATGAGAATTTGGGGATAAGAAAAGTACAACTGAACAAACAGAGCATCTCACGGACGGTTTAGTTGAAGGCGAGAAAAACTCCCCCGGAAACGCACAACAGTTGTTTTCAATGTTTCAATGTTTTCCAAAGGACTGCACAGACAAAAACAAAGAGGCAGAGAGACAGATGCCTCCACTCGAACAATCCAGGACGCACGTGCACTGTGATGCACATAACCTCACGCTGTAATTGGTATTCTTGGTGGTGTTCGTCGTCTCTGACTTGAGAAAGATCCATGAAACTCTTTTGGAAAACTCTCCAGAGGAACTGTAAGACGAGGCGGCCCAAAAGCAAACATATCTTCTGATGTCTCCTGAAATGAAGACATTTTGGAAAAGGCATGATTTTCCCTCCTCACCGATGGCGTGTTCTGTTTTTGCAATGCTTGCAAGGTTCGAGCTGGTTTGCTTCAGTCGTGTATTTGACCACAGATATCTGGTATATATATCTTTCATGTTCATGTTTTAACGTTCAGCTCCACCACTGTCTTCATGTCCATGCTCGGCATCTTCGTCGCAGACGGAAGGATAGTCTTCATTCAACTCCGAATTAATCGGGTGCAATTTGGACACAGAATGGCGCAACTCCTTTAAATGGGACATATTGGCAACGGTTGTGTACTTTGTTGTGTTAATCATTTCTCACCTGAATGATTTACACAGTTAGGGTGTGATCATTTGATCGATCTATTCCGCCGTCCTTCAAGCTGCTGCGTTACATGTGGGATTCTGTTAAGCTCTTCAACGATCCGAGTGTCACACCACAAGGCCAACGTCTTTTGTGAGAGCAGCATGCAAACCTGTCGGTTTACCTGTCGGGGTAAATTATATCAGGATCTGGAGGCGCCGCCACCAAATCCACCCGGCGGATGGGTTTACCATCCCCGTTGCATCCAAGACTGCTGGCTCAGCATGCGTAAATATGACCGTCGCTTTCGACGCAAGCCTAGAAAAAAGGGATCGACACACGCAAGGACGCGAGGAGGTGTGAAAAGCGACGCAAGGGTCGCTCTGAAAAAGCAGAAGCATAAATCAGGCTTTACTCGCGAGCGCCGTTTGCAGGGAAGGAGACAGATTCAAGTGAGTTTGCTACGACCTTTAAAAAGGTGGTCGAGGCGAGTTTCAGATAATAAACTGCGATTTGTATTTTACATTTCGGGCAGAACATTTAGACACATTTTTTGAAGAGCACCCTTTCAGATTGATTTCCTGGCTTTCATTCCACCCCATTGGTCTCCGCGTATGGTGGCATGAAAATCATGAGACTTTTTGGATTGACCATGATCATCCATCTCGGTAGGATTTCTTTTATCATAAAAGTTACTCTATATTACTTCCACTCCTTCTAAACAGACGTTGACCAAACAAACTCACCTTGAAGTTTCAAGCCAAAATGTGCTGAGAAAAATGTAAATTTGAATGTCTGTTTTTCTATAATTACCAAGTAGAACAAATTTTACTTACTCAGATTGCCTAAATGCACCACCAATGATGATTATAATCCATTATGAATAGAAGTGGACATATAAAAAACATTAAGTTCCCCTTGACTTAACCAAGTCTCAGCAGGATGATTTTAATGCTTTATTAAAGAAACAAAAACGGCCTAGAAGACAGTCGAACAAACCTGGTCCACCCTGTACGACGACTGCTGGCGAGGCAGACTGAGAAAAGGTGTCACCCGAGGAGGTGAGAGGGACGTGTGGGCCGGCAGCCCCCTGTGCAGGGCCGGGAGGGGAGGCAGCGTGGGCTGTCCCACACTCAGGGACACCGGCATGGGCTGGCTGATGTGCAGCGGCTGGTAGACGGGCAGCCGGCGGAGGCTGTGGGAGTGGAAGTTGTGCGGCGGCAGAAGAGGCTCCGCGCTCATGAAAGACGGCTGAAGAGAGGACAGGAGGGAGATATTTTCAGTGGTTGCAGCAGCAATGCGTCATCTGCTAGGAGCTTTTGTCAAAAGGTGTTATTAGTAAGTGCAGAATACTGTTGTATTCAAGTGGGCCATGCTAGTGTGGCTCATATGCATAACACGATTTGTTTAGTTCACTAGTAACATTAAAACACAATTACTCACATGAATAACATTTAGATTTTTGGGAAGTAAAACAAGCGACAATTTGAAGTACCTCTGTTGGGTCACATTGTATCAATGTGCGTTCTGTATCTGTGTCAATGCGAGTATCTACCAAAATATTACTCTGAGATGTCAAACGAGAACTGCAACGGACACTTTTTCTGGGAAACTTCTAGAATGCATTCTGAATATTAGATAAATGATGAATAAAAAATAAAAAATCAACACACGTATGGTCATAAAGACCAATCTTTGCAGGCATAACAAGTAAAACCCCACTTTAGTCATCCTGCTCTCATTCGTGTGAAATAGCAGATGTCAGAAACAGTCATAAAAATGGAGAACAACTTATTAAATATGACGTTCTGAAATTGTAAAAAGGCAAGAGTCTGACCGCATGTCCCGAGCAGCTGTTACCTCTAATATCCAGAACAAAGGCATAACGCCTAAAATGTCCATAAAGGATTTGGCTGCTGGACAACAAATACACACATGTTGAGTGTTAGTGGACACTGGCGAGCGGCTGGAGCAGTCACCATAATAAAATCAGGCTGTTTTTCTGTAGTGGTTCTGGACAGGATACAAATGAAGATGGATGAAGACTGGATAAACATCTAAGCGCAATTAAGATAAAAGATAACTTTTATACAGAGTTGCAAATTCAAATCACATCCACACAGTCGTGTTGATGCACGCATTAGTTCGATCACACGCGAATAAATGGAAGCTAATCCTCCTTTGTGTTCATCACTTCCAGCAAACAAATCATAAACGTCTTTCTTCCTCCGCCTCAATAAATCAACTCTGCACCCTACTCATTAAAGAAAATCTTTATCACACACAATCCCATTAAAGAGGCTCAAATAACGGCATCCGGAGTCTCATTTAAAGGGATCGATCTCTGAATTGCAGTTTCTATTGCCCTCCTGTCAACAAAAGCGCTGTAGTTATTATTTCTCAAAGATATACATATAACGAGGGCAAAATCAATTAGGTGAAATCTTGTTTTGTGAACAAAGCGTGGAAGCTTTGACAACTCTGCACCAGAGCTTAGAGGTTTGTGTAGGGATCTAATAGAGTGTGATTACAAAACAAATCAAATCAAACGGGCCCCGACGGGCCCACAGACGCACACATACCCAGCCAATGGAGGAATATTAAGAAAAGTAAACGCTGACACGCAGTGACGTGACGCTGCAGTAACAGATATTTTGTATGGGGCAACTCACCTTATAAATGTTGCCTCCGGAGGGTTTGGGTGGAGGCTTGCGCTTTGGCGTCGGCCTATAGATGGACTGAGTCCTGATGGGGCTGGTTGGACTGTTGGCCTCCACGGATCTATATGAAGAACAAAGCCAGCAACAACGTGTCATAAGTTTCATGCATTTGTTGTCGTGTTGGTTACTCGATTTACAGTATTTATGGCTCATCGCGTTTAATGCAGGGTTTGTTTTTCATGTTGCTCACTTGATTCATTTTTCTTACCATATGACGAAACGTAAACTTTTTTGTGTCTGTCAAATGATCAATAAGTATTGGCCTGTTTTCCTCATGTTTAAAATGTTGCTCATGAATAGGAAATGAAAAGCTTCAGTAATAAAAACCTTTGAGTGGGATGTTTTTTTACTGCCAATCAAATGTGGTGAAATCATTCACTAGAAGTCCTAATGAGGCAGGTTACATGCTTTTTCAGCATTTAATCCTTCCTAGACATAATTAAATTATGTTTTTCCAATTTCAACTTTCATTCATGCTTATTTATTCACAAATCTGAAAGTTTTCAGGGGGCTTTAAAAGGACCAAACTACTTTTTAATTTTTTATTTATTTTTTTAATTTTAGTGTTAACATTCATATTTCTATCTAATAATAATAACCATTATTATAATAATGTCTTTCATCGTCAACGATGAAGAGACAAGTCACCTGAACTTCTCCAAGGTGCTCTTCTTATTGGTGAAGAGCAGGCGCAGCAGAGTCTTCCTCCTCAGAAAGATGACGACGGTGGTTACCAGAAGGCTGACCAGGGTGACCAGGATCGCCACGGTAATGACCACACTGTCGGCTGACGCCACATATGACAACACGCACATTAATACACACGCACGCACATCTACGGCACAGAATGAGGGGACATAATGCAGAGACTGTTACGGCGAACGGCACAGTTTGTCATTCAGATTTCTTCTCTCCAAAGACAAAAAAATCAATCAAAAATGGGTTGTTGTGTAATTAGAGGAAAGTCACATTCCAGTCCAATCCGAATCGGCAAGAGAGTGATCTCTAGATGAGTGGGGGCGAGGTTGAAATTGTCCACATTACCTGCCAGTCTCATCGGCCCGCTGTCAATGCTGCCGCCGAAGCCCGTCTCCTCGCAGAAGGGCGGCGCCCTGTGTGCTTCACAGTGGCAGTTCTTCTTGTTGTTGCACACCTGCAAACATTTTTGCTGTATATTACACGCTGTATTGACTCCTTTTCTCCTTTTCTACAGCATGAAACTGAACGGAAAGACATTTGTATTCTTACCAGCTAAACTTTAGATATAATGTACTAGCCAGAAATCATAAGATTAAAAGGGAATTGGTTTGTTTTTCCATAAATGAACCCCCCTTTTTCAGTTAGTTTAAGTGACTTCCAATAGAAGAGGACACTGCACATGTGGGTATTTCGTCATAATAGATAAAACATGTGCATGGGAGAGTCCATCTCGTAAAGCCTCGGGTTTCCAGGGCACAAGTTCGATCCAGGAGGATTCCCGGGTGAAGTAACTGAGTCCAGCTGTCGGCTGGAGGGAGAATGGAAGATGCTGGCGGTGCGGCGGGAGTTGTACAGCTGTGGGAGATTTGCATTTAGCACAGACGTGCAGTCAAGTGCCGTCCCTGCCTCCTGGACATGGACACTCCTTCGCACAGGGCGACGGGGTTAAGAGGCACGCGGGGCACTCAGGGGGAGCTGTGATTTGTCCCGTGTGTGTTTGAAGGGAAATACTACAGCAGCATAGCAAATACAATCACTTAATTTTGTAACAAGAAAACAAAAATAATGAATTAAGAGTCATGAATCATAAATGCTAAATCATTATGGCCACCGTGTTCTTTAAAATCATCTTGAAAAAAAAGATGCATTAAAAAAACAATACAACAAGGAGACAGTTATATCACTGCGATGGATTTGTCTGAGGATATACACACATTTGGAATGTGAATAAGATGGAGCTGCAATCAGCCTCTGGTTGTCGTATTTGATGACACACATGAGGTGTCTCTTAACGGCATATTTCAGATATCAGAAAAGATGACACTTTTTGAAGGGATCTGGTTGATATGGTGGCCATATAATTTATAGAAAAGCCACATATGCAGGTAGAGAAAATGACAGATAAGTTGGTTTGGCAGATTTTTCTGGTGGGGGGGGGTGCAGCTCAGGTCCAAACTCTCAATTTGTTCTGTTCTTCAATTCTCATGCAATGTGTGTGCTTATGTGGTAATATTTATTGCAACGTGTCGCTGGCAGCTTTGTTGTTGAGCATAACTATGTTATTTTCTAATAACGGACTGATTGGGTTCAGTGTTTGGCCTTTTGAAGGATACTGAGAAAATGTTTGAGAAATATACCATTTTAGAATCAAATGTCTGTTTTTTTCCGACAATGAAGTGGAGAGTTTAGTGCGTGCTAAACTCTCCACTGGTAAATGGATTCGTAAAACTAAGCAACACAGTAAATAAAACATGAATGTAACCTTTTTGAATTATTGATATGAATTACAAAGAGAGGAAGGTGCTCACTTCTTGGCACGGAGTGTTACTTTCATCCTGAACAAATAACTGTTCTCTCCCTGCAGTGCTGCACCGTACAGGGTCAGAAGATGATGAACGACAGCTTAAGTAGATCATAAATGATGCTGTTAAGTGGGATTGATTAAAACCTCCGTGGGACAATGAACATCGATTGTACAAAACTGGAGCATCTGCCGTAACTCTCAGACTGGCAAGCAAATACACCATTGAGTGTCTTCATTTTGTCCGGTTGGTCAAACAGTGGCTAAATGCAAACACCACCGAGGCCTTATTCAACTCGACATATTACGCCCGTAGATCCTTCGCACTCACCCCGCGTCCATTGCACTTTCCAGAGCACTCGTGCACACCGAAGACGCTGACATTCTGGCACTGGCGATTCAGGCACACCTGAAAGCATCAGTCGTAAGAGAGATAGGATAGAATAGTGAGCTGCAAAATGTGTAAAATCAAGCAACAGTGCCCTCCCCTCCCCTCCCCCATTCTTTGTCCGTGCAGAACAATGAGGCAGAATAACAGCGTTCAACAAGCTGTGTAATAGGGGATTTAGAAGCACAACACGTCGCTTGGGCTGTGAATAGACACATTGTTTTTGTATCTTATGATGAGGTCTTCTGATGAAATACATCTGCCGGCATCATTCAGACCACAGATCAGGCTTTTTAGAATAAACATCAACCAGGTGGGCAAACGATTGGACCCATGAAACTGTTTAACCACTAAACATGTCGGTTAACGCGGGTCAACGATGGGAGAGGGAAAAAAAGACTGAAACGAAAATGAGCAACACTAGACTGAAGTGATGTTTTATGGACCCGCCGGAAAAACCTTTACTGCAGTTCATCGGAGAAACAAAATGCACAATATGCTGTGAATCCTTCCGGGAAAAAATACAAAACAAAAAACATAGATCTGGCAAATGCTAGCTGTTGCTTTTATGTAGAAAATAGGCCTGCATTAAAGCAGCTTTGAGCTTTCATCTTCCTGAAATTGCCCCTGTGGAGTGGATCAAGCCCGAATAATGCTCTGATAAGCTTAGAAAATAGAAAGCCAACAAAAGGTCCAGCACACAAACCCACCTGCAGGCCAGCAACATTTCCAGATAATGTGTGGAGCTCGTTCACATTTAGCAGAGACATCAGCCAGGGGACAACAGGAGCTGGCAAGCGCTCGCTTTGCACACGAAGCTCAAAGGCTTTTTAGCTCCGAGGGCAAAGAGCGCTTTAGGTATCCGATAAAAGTGCATGAGGATATCGTATGAAAATGGCTATTTTTCAAGCATAACGCAGCCCTCACACATTCAGCTTTTCACAAGGTAAATCCAAAGCTGCGAGAGGTTCAGCCAATCATCCGGCGGTGAGAATTGCTCACGAGACACCCGGGCTACCTGTAAAGGAGCGAGGTTGGCCTGGGCAGCTCTGGGCCCTGTGTGTCAAAACGTTTTTCTCTCATATTTTCTCTCTAACGGGAAATGGTGAGAAAGGAAAAAGTCGTGCGCAGCTGGAATAAAGCAAACATTAAGGAGAACCAGAATGGCTGGTGCGAGGAAGCAGCGAAGACTTCTGCTTCCCAGAGTATCCACTCTGACTGCGTTGCTGTTCATGCCCATGAGCAACTTTTCAGCTGGTACCATCGGGAAAGTGTCACGGCCAGTAAACACTTCATTACTGAGGTTCTGCACAGGGAAACCTAACTTCCAACATGTGGACAGCATGTTAACTTATTGCTATAAAGCAGCAGAGGATGTTGGTAAAATGACCCGTGTGACCCTCACACCACACGCCCTTAATTATCATTGCAATCACAACCAGTTGGCCATTAACGCAGGACCGAGAACAGATCTTGCAGCCTCATATGGAGAGACAATTCACAGGGATGTGAAGTGTTCCAGGCCAAAGATCTTTTTGCTGCCTCATTCTTGGCAGAACATGGCCTTGATGTCACTGGTGGGTGGAGGGAGGTTTTGAAGGCAGCACATAGAAGGAGAGAAGTTGAGGGACACACCTAAGAAAATAAGAGGTTGCAATAATGGTCTCGTTCAGCCCTCGGCGTGATGTTTATACATGGATCACCGGCCCCACTCAGGAATGAACTCTTTTAGCCCTTTTTTTAGGAGGGGCGACCACTGTGTCCTCGCCTTGGCCCTGCACAGTACTACAATAGACTCATAACAGTTTTCAGCTTTTTGGGGTCTCAAAAGGCCAATTATACCTGCATTAATATACCTGCATGCTGTGGTTAAAGGGCAATACGCAACCACCTAACAGATCGTACATGTATGTAGTGGACAATCTGAAAAAGAACAGCGATAACATATTGTTAAGCTGACGCTTTTATCCAAAGCGACTTACAATAAGTGCTTTCAACCATGAGGATTGAATGAATTCTTCAAGAAAGCCCAGCTACAAAGTGCTACAAGTAGGTGCCATCTCATGTGCTACTAAAGTGCTAAAGGCTCATACATTTACCTGGTCACATTTAATTTAGTGTTGCTTTGTGAAGATAACCCTGCACGTAGGTGAGTCTTGGAGCAGCGCCGGCGATACTATGCAAGGATGAAATACCACGTCTTCAAAATGTCCGTACACAGAGCAAATAATCATCTGATCACTCACCGTGCCGTCTCCACACTTTGTTCCAGCCAGAACCAGCCCGGGATCGGGCATGTCATCGCCCAGATAAACGTGCGTTCCCCGACACAGGATACGCCCTCCTTCTTGAAGTGGGATATTGGTTTCGATGGAAACAGCATTCGTTCCGATGACTGGCCGATTGGCTCCTCCCTGGCACTGAATTTTACCACACTTCGCATCCCTGAATAAAGCGCACACAAAGGGAAACATGAAAAACATTTGAAAACGCTCAAATCGATAAAGCTTCAAACATAAAGGCAATGTCGATCGCAGACAAAGATGAGCGACTGACTGATGAAAGACTGCTGGAGAGAGATGCGGCGCTACAGTCCCGCGGCTATGAAAGCAATCAATTAACAAAGAGCTTGATTACAGGATTCACCCAGAGGGAGGAGGTCTTTCAAACAATTAGTCGACAAGAAGAGCGTGAAATGATTCATGCACAGTTTCCAAGACAAGTAATGAGCTGCTATCTTCCTCAAATTACATCTTTCACTATGCAAACTTTCGTTTTGAAGATCACATGTCAGATTCCACAGCGCATTGATTGATTGCTAATGACACCACTTAAGCTAATCAGTTATTTCCCGCCGCACAGTCTCACCTTGCATCGCATTTGGCAAAAGAGCCCTTAGAGTCCTTCCCACAATTCCCGTAAGGATCTCCTGCAGAGTTGACTCTCTCGAAGCATATCCCAGGGGCAGGCTTGGCTCCTACACGTAAAATCAAAAAGTCAGCCAAATACAGAATACAAGCAGCAAGATGAAGGATTTCCCCTCTGCAGGTGAACACGATGTGCACGCTCCAGCTTGTTGGCAGCCAATGATTTACCTGGTCCCCACAGGGTGATGCATTGCTGCTCGTGAGTCTGGCAGATGCCGTTGTAGCAGTAGCCCTCAACGCTCTGGCAGGCGTGCCCGTCATGCAGGTAGACGTTGGCTGGGCAGTAAGGGTTGGCGCCGGTACAGAACTCGGGCAGGTCGCAGGAGTTACTGGACTCTCGACATAAGGTGCCGGCCGGTTTCAGCTGTGGACACACACGGAGTACAGCGAGCTCTTCCAGGACGGTCACACGCAAAGCAGCAGTGTTTGCAATGGCATCCCAGCGATTTGTTTTATTTGATATCCACCACTGATGCTACTAAATATTTAATATTTATATTTGGTGTTCACATTAAGCAGAAGAACCTCTAATTCAGAACTATTAGATCCATATTGGCAATTTCCCAAAAATATCCCACCTAAAAAAGATTTTGTTATGCTTTGTAGATTATTTCTGCAGTTTTAAGCTCAATGGATAAGAACAAAGTTAATAAGAAAGGAGTTGGTTATGTCAAAATAATTTGATGGATTTACAAACACCATCCATCATAACTTTTCATCAATTATGAATTTGCAAACTGATGATGACTGAATTACTTTTGTATTGAGTACAAGGAGGTCTGGGCCGACTTCCTGCATTCCATCGTGTTTAAGAACGTTTCCTTGTCAAAGAGAGCACACATCTGAGATAATAAGTAAAAGGAATGTCTGGTCAAAGCTAAAACCACTAAGAACGTTCTTCAATTCAACTGGAGGACTTGCCCATAATTGGAATTTAACTATTGAGATAAAATATACAAACTTAGAATGAAATGACCTGCGGTATTAAATTATACACGAGATCATACTATTGTGAGTCTCCTAATGACCCACTAGGGGGTTCAGACAGTTTTGGGGTTTTCTGCTGAATAAAGCTTTGTGTAATATTCAGCCAAAATACAATTTCAGAACTTTACCAGCTGTGAAAATGACAAAATGCTAAAGAGAAGGAGACTCTGCTTACCCGGCATTCTTCACAGCACTGTCCGTGCGCGCACACGGCGTCTCCCTTAAGGGTGCACGTGGTGGCATTGCAGCATGGGTTCATGCATTCCTGGCACAAGGGAAAAAGAAAACACAAAATAGTCACCAACATGTGAACCTGATCATCGCTCTGGAGTTTCTCTCCCGGCTGGTTCCCTGTCAGGTCCAAACCTCCGGGTCAAAGGATCGCACTTCCCGTCCGGGGGTTTGCCGCATATTCTTCTCTGACCCGCAGACCTTTGAGCAATGACTTTTGTACTAAAACACACATGTTTGGTGTTTGGGAATTCTGGAGACCTTTACACTCAAAGAGGAGTGTGTTTTAATGACAACCCACGTGGGGTTAAAGTAGTGGGAGTCATAAAGCAGCAGAAGATAACAAATGTGCACCTGGGAGGGGATGTGCTAAGATCTTTAACTGTGATTTTATGTACCCAGTGGTAAATCGTGGCGGGGTTGACGGTTAGAGTATCTTGGACGGGGGCTCGCAAGCCCTTAAGAGGCAGAGATTGTAGTCGCTTAAACACAATGACAAGATCAGCTGTTTATCTGCGTTTGGATGCCAAAAGACATCAGCTTTGTTTTCCAAGCCACGTCATCACGCAGAAGACAACTCTCGCTATCATTCAACCGCTCTCGACGCGGCCGTTTCCCCCCGCGGGGCTCTGAGGTAATGACAAGACGCGCGGAGGGCCGGCCAACCAGAGGACGTCTGATTGTGCAACGAACGCGTGGTTTGGCTGTTTACCCTCTTGGCCCTGATGCAAGCCTGTTGTTTAGAGAGACGGGAGAAAAGGGTTGTTTCTTCTGTTGGTCTGAGTGGGCAGACTGAACTAGCTGGTCCTTTGAGGTGACGTTGTGGAGGTTGTGGAGGGGCAAGCTGGCAGAGACGGGGGTTGGCAAATGTGAATTATAGATTTGGTTGTCAGACGCAGTGACGATTCGAAGTTGCCCGGGAATGATTGAGCACATTAACGACAGCACTTAACTAAATAATCAAAAACCTTGTTGAGTCAGTTTATCGTTATTTTAGAATAACAAACACATTAAATGAATTTATTAAATGCCCACTCTTTCTCACAAACCAAAGGGCGTGTTTCTGCGTGTCTTTAAACAGATTCCTATATGAGAAGCAGACCATCAATTTTTGGTAAATAGAACTCTGTGCCAGACGAAAGGCTTAGTTTTCGGTGGTTCCAGCTTATCAAATGAGAGGATTTCGACTTAAATCATCATACATTGCATTGCATACTAACGCCGGTTCGGACAAACCAGAATTTCTTCAAAAAAATATGTCACCATGTGAAAGTCTGCAGCAATCCAAAAGCCTCAAGAGATGTTGTGTACAGACATATTCATCCACAAATCCCTGTGGCTGCCACTGAGTGAGATCTGCTTCCCTAATGGGATTCTCACTCCACTTCACATCACCAAGAGGCCCTACTCTGTGTTTGTGAGCCAGAAACCGTGTACGTGTGGGTGGATGCAGGCATCGGAGCGTGCACGGTTCTTTGGGTGGCAGAGCCAAAGAAAGCTTATTCCAGCTCATTTATCCAGTACATTTGACTTTTTCCTTCCTTTGTCACACAGTTGGACAGTGGTTTGATTAATGGGCCTTGCAGCAGGGGCGTGCCGTCAGTGCCGCAGCTTGTCAAAGCGCTGTTCCACACGTGTCGGGAGAGACGAAGAGAAGGTGTAATGTAAATAAAACATGTATAATGGAGGCCTCGGGCGATTCGCTGAGCTTTCGGGATCTTTTTGATTTTCTTTGCACGGCAGGTTTTGATGCCCAACATCACTGACAACCGGCAGTTGAAGTTGTGGTTTGTTGGGGCCACTGAGGGATGTGTTGAGAGTCAGTGGTTCTGGATGGTTGCTCACAGGACAGCTTTTAGTTTATGTAAGTTATGCTACTATTTTTTTTATAGCGTACCCACTTACTGACAACCCGCCGTGTGGTTCGGACATTTCGGGAGAAAGGGCCACCCGCAGAATTCTTCGGAAACACATTTACTACACTTCACTGAATCCTGATTCACCAAAGACTCGATATCGATTTTATTACAGCTTTTGTGTTTTAACTTTCATCTGTGTTACCCACAGAGACCGCAGACTTCCCGGAAGCAAGTCAACATGAACGCCTCGGCTCTCCATCTCACCTCGGGCTCCCCGCAGTCGCACTCTTCCCCCTCCTCCACGTAGCCGTTGCCGCACTTCTGGCCGCCATAGAGCACCTTGACTTCGGGCATGTTGTCCAGGCACATGCCCACGCCCTTCTCCAGACTGGCAGCAAGGTCCTTCTTACTGCATGTACTGAAGACTGTAGGGAACGGATACCTGCAAGAAGAATGGAGCAACACGGGTTGACTGAAATGTAGGCGTGAAGAGACATGAAGAAAATGACATGGCATGCAAAGCTCCTGCGCTGTGTGCTTTGAACCCTTCGGGTAACTGTTCATTTTATTCAAATGCCTCATTCAAGAGGCCCTTTCCACACGAATGGAATGGTCTACTGACACTGCAATGCATGAGCTCCAGGTCAATACATTTTACGTAAACGGCCATCAAAAGTATAGAGAACCGTTTCGTCTTGCAGCTATATTTTCAAGAGGCGTATCGTGGCACCGCCGAGACCATCTCTAGTCAACGGACTGGATGTGGACGTCAAACCCTGATGGACTGAAAAGCACATTTATTTCTCTCGCTGGTATCGCCTACCTGGAGGGCAGACGGACGTCTAATTTAGCGAGGAACGAAATTGGATTCTGTATTGAAAACGAGAAAATATTATGACTTTAAAGATTAAACTTTATGATATGCCTTCAACGGCTGTGTGGCCCGGGGGCGGGATGGTACTTCTGCTAAAGTGAGCTTCTATGAGTCTAGGAATCAAGGGGCAGAAATAAGTAGGGAGACAGAGATGGAGAGTGAAAAACAAAGCTAATATGTAAGTAGGAGAGTAAGAAACATAGTTATAATTGGGGGGCGGAAACAGAAAACACACCGAGGCGAGGATTAGGGATGGAAAACAACCTGTGCGTAGAAAAAGGAAAGAATGAAATCATGCGCCATGATGACAGAAATCTTGTTGCTGGTTTCTAACCAACCAGAAACAAGACAACAAAAAAAGTACAAAAACTGAGTCATGACCGCAGGACATTCACAGGTAAAAATAACGCCTTTTTACTGAAAACATTTTGTCACAATGGGACACGGCCTCGCTTCAGGAGGAGGACGTCGAGGACGTCGCGTGGCACCGGCTATCAGAGAAGATTGGCAGACAAGGCAAAGAGTCAGGCAGCCGGGATACTTGAAAAGCTCAAGACGGAAACACAAGTACTCGTGCAGCAACCGGGGGTCTTCAAACGCATCGAGGCGTGGAGACGGTCTGCAATGCTCGCCGCTCGACTGGGCACATTTGTGTAAATTCAACATTACACAGGATTCACCTTTACCTGAGGGGCATTTGGCATTTCACTGCTGTTAGTTGACCACAGTAAAGCTGACTGGAGATAACAATGGAACCATTCAATGGGAAACACGGGTTTCCAGGGAACATGGGACACAGTAAAAGCTCCTCTTCTAACAGCCGCTCTTGAGTAAACTGCTGCTTCTACTTCACTCAGACTGTCCATCTTTCTAGTGTTGAATCCAACTGTTTCTGACTCTCCCCTTTCTGTGCTCATAATCCACAAAAACAGCATTGCTGCCCTCTGCGTGGAGACTGAGGCACAAAATCAAGGATAAACAGACTATGCAGATCACACTGCATACCCAGTCTCTTGAAAACAGCACTGGCTGCTGCTGATAACAAAACACTAGGCATGCTTTGAGATCGGCATGAGAGGTTGACGTGCACACGAGGGGTAAACAAAGTCTGTTCTCAATAAACCATGCAGCGGTAACGGTACAATCTGTTGGGAGACTTCGTCGTTGAGGAAAAGCAGGTTGCTTTGCAGTAAATTAGACCCACCTGGAAAGTATTAATGAGATCCAATGAATAAGCGTCTATCGAAAACAACAGATTTATTTCCGTGTTAACACCTTTGCTTTGGATTAACTATCGAATGATTTACCTTCTAAAACTCACTTTATTTTCAGGGTTAACCTGTTCCTAACCTGATGTAAAATAGGAAAATAATCTGATGCTAAATGCCAAAGCTGAGTGAAGCTGCCTCGCGGAAATGAAAAAGTAATGCAACACCACGGATTGGACTTTGGATGAGTGAAAGTGGATTTGAAACCGATTGAGCACAGCTCTTCACAAGTGAGCCTTAAGATGTGATAATTTATGTCCTTTATATGCTTGACTATTTGTTGCAGAGGGAACCTTAAAGAGCCATGACGGGAGCCAAGACTTCCAATTTGAATCTAAATTAACTTTAACTGATGCCCAATGTGACCAGTGACCCTGTATGAATATAGCTCTGATGAATGAGCTGCACCGCTTATTTGCTGCTGAAATCCCTCCAGGTAGGCTAACAGGTGCCCACTCCATCCTGGTAACAGATGCAGTGTCAGCCTCACCATGTGTCCCGGCATGCAGTAGGAATATCTTCCTTCAAAGTCATACACTGCATGCTTTAATCCTTCATAACAATGAGCAGATGCACCGAAGGAGCCCACTGTTCCGACGCTGATCACCACAAGTGTGTGAGTGTTAGAGCCGGGTCGTCCGTCACTCAGAGGGTCGGCGGTTCCATCCCCGCATTTATCCCTAAATTACCCCACGCGTTGGAGCCAGCAGTGTACAAATGGGTGTGAATGAAGACACGTAGAGTTAAGGTTCTTTGAGTGGTCAGGAAACTAGAACAGGAATATAATTGTGCTATTGGCTGAATGTCTGCTTTCATATATAAATGACTTTATATGAACCGGAGAAGACAATATGAAATGACCTTTGAGTTAGTTCAGGCGCAGACTATGGAAGGATGAAGAATGTTTCAGTGCAATGAGCAATGCAATGCAACAAGACATTGTAATATATCATAATGGTTCTAACCTTTGCAGAAAATTCAGGGCCTTTAATATTTTTCGTTTGAATGCAGTCGTAAATTGATTAAAATGTTGTATTTTGGAGCAATATCTCAGTCGAAAGACATTAAAAGGCTAAAAGTCAATGACTCTACGCATTACCAGTAAAAAAAAAAGAGTCAGCATGAGATCTCAGTCTTCAATAGACCGAGGTCTGTTATATCACAGTTGAGACAACACAGCTGCTCTACTGTTGAGGAAATTAGCAGAGCAGAGGGTGTAGGTTTCCCTAGATAATATTAGCATAACGCCCTGCACCCTCTCCAGGGTGGAGTTCGCCGGGGTGGAACTAATTTAATAAGCACAAAGGTTTTAATCATTGAACTCCTTTCGTCAACGTCATTTGCACTGTGAAAAGACACTGTTGACAATCGTAATCTCAATGCCTCAAGCATCTGTGTTGCTGTTTGGTGCTATCAAGCAATATACTCAAGTCAGTGTAGCTGCCAGATCACACAAACACAGGACAAAATCCTCCTGTTACTTTGCACAGAGCATTGCGTGTATGCTCAGGTTATTACAAACTTGTTGAATTGATTGCCTTATTCGAATATGTGAAAGCCAATAAAAATATATTTTAAATCCAGCATTGTTTTTATCTGCGTTTACGAGCATGCAGGCTTCTCCTTCGCTTTCTCTGTTGGCGTATTGCTGCATAAGTTACACATGATAATCAGCAGGAGGACGTACTCATGCTCCAGGAATAGAGCCAATGCATCCCTAGACGTGAGTCGTAATCTGTACACAGTGAATTCATTTTGGACAAATTAAAAATAGGATGTTAAAGAAAATCAGCTACATCAACTACAGGTACGAAATCCACCCCCAAAAAATGAAGGAAGTTCAACTAAACAACGCATAACAAAGACGAAGAAACTCACAGCCTTAGAACACGGCATCTGCTCATGCCAGCACAACGTGAGCTACGCTGCTAACTGAGCTCATAACTATTTATCTGACACACATGTGAGTGACCACATACATGAGTGCCTGCAGAGCAGGTTGCTTCCCCCCACTTATCAGTCACTCAGTACATAGAGGACCCAATGATGAACAGCTGTTTTTTTTCCCAATCCTCAATTGAGCAGATGATCTTCGAGAAGATCACGATCAGAACAACATTGTGTGTAGATGGACTGGATTTCTTTACGATTTCTTTCTGTTAAAAACATGTGTCCGAGCCCTTACTGTGATGCAGAGATAAAGTCCGCTGTGCACCAGGCAGCTCTTCTCGGATCTAAAGCCATATGTGCAGGGCAGATGATTCCTGTCGGTTCGATTATCTCCACACGTGAGGCCGGCGGTTTCACGCGAGGGCGGAGACAGTAGACGCATTGGTCACACAAAAGGGCTACGAAGGGCTTTTCTATTTGTGGCTTCCCCGACTGACATCAAGGCCGACGACATGCATTTAGTACAAGCTAAGCAGGGCAGACAGGCCTGACCTTTAGGTAAATGTTGGATTGCATCGCTGGCAGGAGCCTTGGGTGATTAAATATTAGGAAGAAAAGTGAAACATAAGCTAAAAATACTGCAAACGTTTACTCACCAGCAAGCTCTTTAAATGTTCTCCCATTTCCTCTCAGAAAAATATCCTCAGACTTTTTTTAAACCTTCTCACCTCACTTGCTCTTTTCATTTCAGCGAGAAAAAAGACTCACAAGCCATTTCATACTACTATGAATAAATTCACCTCTTAGCCTCAAAGTCCAGCCACAAGCTCGCTGCTGGGATTCACTTTTCTTACCAGTAACATACACAGACACGGGTACTTTTGAGCTCAGTGTCATATGATGCAACTCTCAGCTCAACTTCAAGAAATAAAATCCCTACATCCAAATGTTCAACTTAGTTCCTGGCCTCCGTCCCTCAGACGTCCACTCACTGTTAAGAAGAGAGACGTCGTGGCTCATACGCCTGTCGCAGACGTCAACGTACACCTGAACAATTCCTTCATTGTCTTCATCGTCTTGCTCATCTCTCAATGCCACCTTTATCTCTCTTTGTGTTTGTCTTCCTGCTCTAGCACACGGGGAGATAAAACACAAATAAAACCAGCGCTTCCTTGCTCCGCCTGCCCATCCGGGAATAAAGCACCTCTCATCCTCTCGGCAGCCGGGCTCCGATTGCAGCTGGCAGCGTCACTAATAATCACGTCATTTAGATGCAGCCGGTCCTCTCTTCCATTAGCAAGTCTAAGCTGGGAACAGTCCAAACACACACAGTCCAAGGAGCTGCATCCCTCCTGCGAGTATTTGTTTAGCATTCTGAAGGCATCTGTCCTGAGGGTCGAAGGAAGACGCTTACATGCATTTGTGTTCATATACATATAAATAGGAAAGGAAACCAGATCCGTGATGGGAAAAGGAGTTCTAGATTAGTTCATGAAATTATTGGTTTTGTGAATAGTAATGGGACAACTTAAGCTGGTTTAGAAATTTGGGCAACATTTTTTACCATAAAAAACTCCATGGCTCATAGTTTGACTCAAACCACAGAAATGAGAATATAATTCTGTCATTTTGATTGTAATTGTTAGATATTGGTATTCTTTTTACAAACAGCATCTATTTCAGAGCATCATTGAACCCCATTAATCACCTTCAGTACAAACATACAGAATGCAGTGAGCAACGGTCAATGCACAGTGAAAAAAATGATAATTGAACAGAAAATTATAGCCACTGAATCTGAAAAAATTGCCAGGCAAATTTGCCACTATGCCACTATGTACTGCCACTATGCCACTAATGCCCTCTCTCAATTCTGAATGTGTCTGATCTCATAACGATATAGCAGACAGTAATACATGGGAGTGAGTGTGATTCATAAACCTCTTCTGTCGGGAAAAATTCAATAACAACGTGACCCACTTTCCATCTGTTTAGATCAAAAAATGATTTCACTAAACGCTCTGCATGACATCATTTAGATGTCAAGTCAGCAGCATGCGAAGTGCATATGTAAGTCCTGCACTGCATAAATCCAGTGGTGTTCTTTCTCCAAAATATTTTGTAAAGGGAGTACTGCAGGATGAGCTCACATTTGCGAGCGGCTTCAAAAACAAGCTTTGACAGTCCCTCCCCTGACTGTGTTCTGCTGTAAAAGGTCATTCAAGTTTGTCTGGGACAAATCTTGGCCACTTTATTGTTACATTATTTATCTGTTTTTTGTCCTAGATTTGGGGGATTTCTGAGGGATGAACTGACAAGCTACCTGTAGTTTTTGTCTCTCTGTTGAGAAGGTAGTTAAAGTCTTACCTTTCCCTGATGTATCTGCATTATTATAAATTAAGGTCAGCTTTAGTCATAGTCATGGACAATCTTGATACAGCTCCCTGGACAATCTATGGATGTAGATCATTCCTGGAAAATACGTCGTGGGTGGGTCTGTGTGTGCCGTTTCTTTGATTTGCATTTTGAAAATTCAATCAAGTCGTTGAACAGCGACAGCAGCAGCCTTCAGACGTTGTCTTCCTCACGACGCTGTGGAATCTTTCCTGACCATCGTCCTCAGACTAACCCGCCCACCCCCCCCGGACCAGAAGGGGAAATCTGGTATCGCGCTCTGGGTTCCTTCTTATCTGCTTGCTGTTTACTCACAGAGTCCATCACTTGCAGAGGCAGCGTTATCTCACCGTGCCAGGCAACACGGGCAGAATGCTGGAGCAGCTGCTTTAGTCTCGGGCCAAACTGTGTGTGTCTGCCTCTCGCGCGGCGAAAAACAAACGGTGGCGATGTACGTACGGATGAAAACGATCCAACCTGTGGAGCTGCTCATTTCGACTGTTGGATATGAACACATCGATGCCGCGTTACATGAAAAGGATCAGCGGGACCTCACCCCGTCGACGGGGTCATGATGCAGCCGCCGCGATCGGCGGTCATCCTGCAGCCGCAGCCGCGCTCCGGGGTGTCGTGGTTCATCCCAAAGTTGTGTCCGAGCTCGTGGGCCAAAGTCACCGCCGCCCCCAGCGGGTTCTCCGAGTGATCCTGCGATTGGTACAACGGGACAAACCAGAACGTGAGGACATGTCGGTCACGGTTCAATCAAAGGTTATTGTGACTGATATTTTTGCATTTGCAAGTTTTACATCACGATTCTCGACTGTGGTGTAATTTTAATTGTATTAAAAAAAGGATCCGTACTTTTAAATGTTATTTTGACAAGCATTTTGCTGTTAATAGATATTGTTCCTCCCAAAATGAGGCATATTGATAGAATCCATTTTTTTAGGCAGCCGATTCCCAAAACAGGGCAAATCCAATCTGCAACCGCATCATTCTTCTTCTACTACTTCTTCTCCTCAAGGAGGCCTGAATTCATCCGCCATTCCATTACCCCTGCAGAGCCAATCATACCCGACGCTGTTAGAGACACCAACTGCAGTGGGCTCCACCAACCTAGCTCGGCATTACTCACTGCTGCATTGATAAGTGAGAACACCGCCCTTCACAAGGGAGCTGGAGATGGAGAACGGAGAGAGAGGGAGAGCTGCCATTTTTTGGCAGGTAGAGACGGGGGGGGGGGAATGGTGCAACCATCGTACTTTAGCCCAGAAAAGCGTTTTCCAGCCTTAAGACGGATAAACACTGTACGATTGGTGGCCTGTTGATTATGTGCCACATCTTACTGCAGTATTCAAATGTTTTCTACATGACAAAACCACATGCTGGAGAACTGTTTCAAAAGTCCAAGTCGAAGGTAGGTCCAAATACTTTCTTCACTGATTAGAGAGACGCATCATGGGGGCAAATGCACCCTGCTTTTTAATAATGAAGTTGGGAAAGCTTTACTCAGCTTCTTTCATGTCTATCAACGAGTGTCTCTGTATGTGTGTGTGTGTGTATGTGTGTAATTCATAGTTGAGTGCCTCTTCACAAAAGGAAGAAAAAGTGATATCAGTCAGAAGAAATGTTTGAAACTCTCAGAAAGCAGAGTCCTTTCTTTGAAGCAGCTATAAGTCATTGCTGTGATTGAGGGCATTTGATAGTGTTGGTTAAAAGACTCACGGCTCAGATAGTCTTTCTGATAGATTTTCCAGCCTTGTGAGAAAGTAACCCCCTGTTTGCTGTAACAGTTTGAAGCTAACCAGTCACACATTAATCCTCGTGTGAGAACACGTGGACCTAATAAAGGATCGGAGGCTGATTAACACATGGTGGTGCATCATTTGAGAAATGGTTCACTTCATTTGGCCGTCCTCTAACTGGTTACATGGCCCTTTGATCTCGTGCCAAACCATCTGCTATCTTTAAGTAATGGGGAAGACAAACATCTGGAGATGCCTCTCCGCAGGCATTGGCCTGCAGAGAACATCACTATTATTGGAGGTTACACATCTGGGCTTGTTGTAATGGCATTGGGCTGATATCCACTTTGTGATCTGGCATGGGTAACAAGTGCTACATGAGGCAGAGGAGCCCGGCGGGAAGCTAATTTACTATGTACAATCATCCTGTGTACCAGGGGTGATGCACAGTTCAGTGTGAAAAACGTAACGTGGGCTCTGAAAGAGCTGGTATACACAATTTATCACATCTAATAAAAATGTAAATGTGAATTTGTTCAAAGGATGCAGCCTTTGATTTACCTCTACGCCCCACCGAGCTGTTTAGAGACGTCACGGGAGAGAACGAGTGAAAGATGGGAGGACTTCAAATGAACTTGGAAGGCCGCGCGTAGCCCTCAGATAGCGTCTTTTCATATATTCCTTTGCGGTAATGATGAGACCATGAATATTGAAGGAGTGCCTGCACAAATATTATCATGTTCAAAAGCGCGACTGCCTGCCAGCAAACACCTTTTGTGTCTGGATCGTGTTAGCCTGCTGAATCTGAACAATGTCTACGCTGATACAATCTGGCTACAGAGGGCAGGAGGAGGGAGCGAGCGGCAAGAAGATTTTAATACTCGCCATGACGATGCCGCCAGACTGCTCAGCTGTGCACATGCTCATGATGGGCGCCATGCCAATGGTGGTGCCCTGGAAGTAAACCCCGCTGCAAAGGACAAAGGACAGAAGTGGGGCGGAAAGGAGATAAAAACACATATCACACGAGAAGAAGGTGCTCGGATCTACATGACCATACCAGCTGTTGTCAATTGCTTTGCTCGTAATTTTTCTTTGAAAGTATTATTAATGCTGGTTTTCCCAATAACGTTCACACCAAGGTCACGGTTCAGATATTTAGAAAGGTAGCTCTGTAAAAGTAATATAGAAGAAAAGATATTGAATGTTAGAAATGTAGTATCATTCTTACATCTGTTGGGTTAGGGTTGTACTCTATGGTGTAATATGGAACTGTTTTGCCAACAATAAGTAAACCTCCAGGTGACAACACAGTCTAGGTTATCCATACAGATGCTAACAAAAGTCAACCTGCAAAAACAGTCAAATGAATGGTAAGAATTGAATGAATGAAATTAGTAGTTCTTTTAGTGGTTAAGGGTTTGTTTGCGTGTGTGCATTTCTGGGCTCAATATTCACCTTATTAGTTGCGCATTGTCATGCGGCTTCCCGGGCAGCAGTTTAACTTTCCTCCAATCCAGGAACTCGTGCAGGGTGGAGAAGGGATCCTGGGTGACGGGACATTTGTCCGAGTCACTCCACACCTCCAGACCCACCAGAGCCACGCGGATGTTCAGGGCTCTGTAGAACTGTTGATGAGCAGGGAGTCAGTGTGGATAGAGAGGCCGAAGGATCCAAGACAATTTCTACCAGTCATGGAGGCAAAGTAAGAACTGCATATGCACCACCGCTCAGCCTTTCCTTTGAATTTCCACAGTAGCATCTCACAATATTAGAGCATTAAATACCTCTGCAGCCCAAAAGGTATTTCCCTCGAAAGCAATCATGGTCAATTTAGACAAGGAGGTCTCGTATGTATAAATCCTTCCTCCAGCTGAAAGAAGCAAATTCTTTCATCTAAGTTTAAAGCCTGAGGGCCGGGAAGTAACACCTGTATATTATGAAAAGTAAACTAAATTATCTTGGTGCAATTGGATTGAACAGGCATCGTCTTTGGGTCTGGTTTAATGGTATTATATATCCACATCCCTATTAGATGAAAGTTTCTGTGTGCGTCAACTCTTTTAGTGTTTTAAAAAAATCTATCTACGTTTCCCTCCATCTGCTCCCTGTATCTACAAGCTATAGATCCAAGCTAGAACAAATGCTGGGCGGTGCGAGAGCAGCTGTTTTGGTGGCATATTAATATATCAGACGGCCATCCCATTAATCTCTGCTACCAGTAATATTTCTATTTTTAAAAAGTGATTTATCCCATTTGTGCAAAGGGGAGAGGTTGTTTTACCTTGTCCACGTAATTGGCTATCTCTGCCAGTCTCTGCTTCACCTTTTCCACGTCCCTCCCCTGTTTCTGAAACTGGAAGAAAAGAAAAACGTTATATCAAATAGGATCATTTACACCCGGATGTAGTTGTGCTGATGATGACATGAATGAAACTGTAGTTACAGTCCTCTGCAGAAGCAAAAAAGCACGAAATAACAGAGGACGCCCACAAAGGCAATAGGTTTCACTGACTGTTATGCAGCTTGTCAAGCTGCGACCATCTGGATCGAGAGAAATCCCCCGGCGCTACAGAGACAAATGGCGAGGCCACAGGGAGCAGGTATATCAGCCGACCCGACAGGCCGCAGAGCTTTTGATCCAAACTGCAGCAAAGTCAGATTTACTATTTCAACCCTACTGTGCATCCACCTGCGTTGGTGCTGGACTTCACATCGAAGCCGACCAACAGACTCCATCCTTTTCTTTCTTCTTTTCTCATTGTTTACTTTCCATTCAGGTCCGGGGGCATTAGCGGAGGGCCGCCAGGAGGAAACCTCACAATGAGCTCGTCAGTGCTCACGGGAGACTCTTCTGTATCCACACAGCTTTTCTTTTTTTTTTCCCCCGGTTTCCTGTCTGGTCGGCTGGGGAATCGTTCAGCACTTCCTGTCAAAACGGAGCCTCTGCCCCGGGACCACACTGCTTGCCGCCCAGTGACCTAATTCAGCAGCCACAACGGGACCTGCTGTTACTACAGCGTATACCCGGATTTTCTTCTGCTTATACCGCCCAGGAGCTTGCACTGCGTTCACTGTGTAGTTTTCTGTTGTTCAAACACTCTATTTGGGAATATTGGATTACCTCTCTGTTGTCTGCCACGATGATCAGCTCGACGTACTTGGTTGTCTTCTGAGCATGCCTCTTATGCTGAAGAAGAAACACAAAGACTGCGTGTTAGAAGTACTTTGAGATTTTTCAGAGTTTGTTTTTCAGGGAGTTTTAACCACTTGTTCCTCTTTGATATCTGCGTCCTTTTTCAAGCACTGGAAAAAATAATCGTAACTCAATGGATAAACTATCGCTCTGTGTGTGCTTACATTGATAGCCAAGATAAAACACAACTTTTTACACTCCACTTTTCCAATTAAAATAGATTTAACGGGTCACTTGAATAGCTCCATGCGTGCTGGTAGGCTAAACTTTGTTATTTTCGGAAATTGACTGTCAGCTGTTGATTCATATTTAACATCCAGAACCTCATTTTGTATTTCACTCTTGGCAAAGCAAGTGAACAAATAAGCAAATTTCCCTCCGAAAACTACTACTGAGCCCACCATCATTTTTATGTTGCTTCCCTTTTGCATCGTACAGCTTTGGAGAAGCCAGAGCATTACACGAAGCACGCCGGGTGATACAGCCACACTCATTGATCTCTTCTGCCCAGATAGCCCATCTGGAGAGCAGAACTGATGCTCTTTTAAAATTACAACGCCCAGAAATGACTCAGGGGTCATTAAGTACGGTATGTTGGTACGTTTTACTTCCTGACTCAAATGGAGTTTTCAATGCTTGGGAAAAGTAGCAGATGGATGCGGCACCTGCTCTATGCAAATCCTCGGCCAAACCTGCGTGGTCCCTCGACTTTGGGCTGTAAGCGTAGATAAAATGTGTCAAGCCCGTGGCAAACACCCTCTGGGAACTTATCCAAACTGATCGGCTTGCCAGTTTGCAGATCCTTGGTCGGACGCCCATTTGTCTTTCAGCAAGAGACTGTTCGTCGAAACATTCGAAACATTTGACAATTAAGAACCCGGCGAAAAATATGCTCAAGTTGGGGACAATACAGTTCTGGACCGTGATCTCTCGAGGCTGTTATACAACCGTATAAAGCCATAAAACAAACTAACATAATTGTAATCTCACCCTCGCGTGGAAGGATTGAAAGGGGTTTTGGATGTGGTTTTCAGGGGCAACCGAGGACGCGTTGAAGCCATGGCCGCAGGCTCCTGGGGTCAGTTTGAGTTCTTCCACCCGGTAGATGAAGTGGGCACCATTGTCATGTCCGGACACCGGCTCGATGATAAATGTCTTGTTTTCAAGTGCGATGAAGCCTCTGCAGAGACAGCAGTGCAAAATCTAAAAACAAAGCCTTGAAGCATAACCAATACCCCAAACCCCACAAATCCACTGAACGGGGCACAACAGGCCCACCAGTTCCGAACTATAAAAGATTTTGTTTCATTATTTTGATGACAGGGCCGAGCCCCACGGAGCCTCTAAACATTTGCCTTGTCAGCATTATTATTTTGAGCACATGGCCTCATTGACTTATGCAAAAACCTCTATACAATTCACAAAGTTGTATTACTATACAACAGCCCTCTTCAAGTGTTCATGGTAATTGAATAATCAAATCTCCTTTTTTATTGCATTGATAAAATAACAAAAGCACTTTTGAGTTTCCTGAAATGTTTTCTTACTGTATAATTTAGCAGGAGATGACATTGTGGTTGGTCATTAGCAACGGCAAGAAGCCAATTACTGCCAAACCGATAATAACTGGAGGCCTCTGTGGACAGAGACAATGAGGCGTGACATTTTCTCCAATTCCAACACCAACTTACTGACAGCGGGCCTAAGGGGTTTAGGAGCGATGGGCTGCTGTGCAAAGTGACTTAAGTAAATATAAACATTGCAGAGTGCAAATAGCACTCAAAGGGCAGTGTTGAGATGCTGCTGGAATACAAAATGATGGTCAGGTTTCTTACCGGAGGCCTGTGCAGGTGCTTACGGTGACATCAGAGCCGGGATGCGACTGCACCTCCCCGTGGTAGTAGCAGTTATTCTAAAAGAGAGGAATTGTTTTACTCAGAATTTAAACTTGTACTCGGAGCATCTCTACAATTTTTACAATCTTAAATGTGCGGCATAGGAAGGGGAGCTCAATCTCTGAATCACATGTCACCATGGAAGATGCTGAGATGTCATGTTTCCAAATGTGTACATGGAAGGTACTACAGATACTCAAATGTGGCAAGCAATGATAAAGGGAGTTTTTCATGATATGACCAACATATTGCAGATGCAAATATTGCATAGAAAGATTAAAACACTTGTTAATACATTTAAATATTTACGATATCCAAAAAAAGGCGATATAAATTCTGCTTGTTACAGTGCTTCTTCTTCTCTTCCTCCATAAATAAATGCAAAACTTCACAGTTGAAGTGAAGCAGGAGGTCTGACACGTAAGGGACATGACAGTTTTTCATGCATTATTCCAATAAAGTGAAAAAATGGATATTTAAAGCTCCTCAGACCTTAGAGAAAACCCTGTCGTCCGAGCAAAAGGGGAGCGAAGGCAGCGACTCTCGTTAAGAGGCAATATACACCTCCATTTACTGTCCAGAAGCACTTCAGTCCTCCTGAGTCAATAGTCACTATGTTGACCATCTCTCATCTCAAATATTCAAATGCCGAAGGAAGTACTTTGAGGTAAGATGGTTTTGCAGTACAGTGAAAGTTACCGAGTGGTGATGGAATTGACATTCATTTCACTTATTATAAAAATAGAGCAGTTACTAAGGCGCTGTGCTCCCAGATTAGTTCACCTTTCATACAAGAAAAACCGACAAGGATAGTAATTGTCATCCTCAATTGTACTCAATGTGTTAGTGACTTTTAAAGCAGCTAAATTCCTTCAAAGAAAATGATGTAGCTATGAGCTATTTTTAAGATTTCCTGAAGCGTCAAAAAGCTCGGCAGAAATGGAATACATCTCAGTTAACTCCTTATAATCCAATTTTCTGGTTATATTTGCCCTCAAGTGGCTTTAAGGGTGGAAAAAAAAGTATCCGTTCCTGCTCCGGTTTGTGTTACACGGTGTTGTCTTGCAGCAAAGTTATTGTATTTATTAAGGTTTTTCTGTCTTATCAGATAATTCATTCAATGGCAGAGCACATCCGCATGTACACATCTCTCCGCTGCCTGCGGAACAACACATGGACGATGGCAGTTCGGTGACAGCAGGTACTGACATTGTGAAGCTGGGTAACGCTTATCTAAGACAACGCAGTCTATTTGACAGCCTGATGCAACGCTTGTAACATCCTCCCAACTCAAGATTAAAAGGTGAAAAACGCTGTTTATCTCTGCGGGAAATAAGACCTGTCAGCCTTTGTCAAAATACCAAACGTTTCTCATCAAAGGTGTAAGCGTTGAAACGGTTTTCACTTCAATCAACTAAACAGCGATTGAATCAAACTGCAAAAGAAAACAAAAATGACAAAGACAATAATCAAAAACATAAATCAAAAGAAAGAAATTTCCTCCAGTGGCTGCTTTTAACTTAAAGCAAAAAATACCGTTACGCGCAAACAATTCTCCCACAGTGAAACGGGGGGAATTTTGATAAGTACTGAAAACTCAAATGGAAATTGAAATTATTTTCAAGAGCAGCGTTCATTCCCGCTTAACACAGCTAGCATACACATAGCAGAGAAAGTCAGAAGTACTCAGGAATAGATCAGCTGCTAAAAAGGGGATTCCGTGATGAAATCCTGATGGCAATGTTGGCTGACAAGCTGGCAGCACAGAACGCAGCTTATCATGAAGTGGGACACAGGATGGATGTCCTGGTTCAGCAACAGCCGGAGGCTTTCAAAAACACATGGGGGACATTATAGCTGCCAAATAGAAACAATCAAAACAAACTATCTATTTCCGATAGATTCAGCATAGATTCATCATCAACTGACTTCCCCCCCACCAAAAACATCTGTCACTTTTAACAGCGGTGCACCACTGGACCATGAATGTCAAAAGCTCTTGAATGTCACTGTACCGTAAAGTTGTGAGCACCGGTGACGGAACTTCCATCCTCCCGGTAATGTGTCTCAGTGTAATGGCCTGCAAAAAGACCCCTAAGAAGGGACAGAGAAGAGAAGAAAAGACATAAAAAAAAAACATGGTATTATTTCATCTCTGTGAAGAAGTCCGTGATTTACCAACAAAACTCAAGCCGTGCTCTTCATGTAGATTCAGCGTTGCTTGGAAGGATTTGGGGGATAATGTGGATGAAATGCTTAGCATTCGGAGGACAGGAAAGATTTTTTTGGTGAATTTACGAGTTGATTTGAACGTGTCCTTGAATCGCCTGGCGTTCAGAACGACTGAGTCGAATCCCTGCCGAGGTCTTTATTTCGTGCATGTGGGTTTCAGTGCACATGCGTGTGTGTGTGTTAAACCACAGGTCTGTGTGTTTGAGGGTTTTCCTCCACGGCCATGAGCAGATGGACACACTGAAGTCCCCCCCCCCCCAAGCATTGACAAAGGAGCAGCAGGATGAACACCCCATGCTTTACAGCTGCACCGTCACACTGACATCAGGCCGAACGATCTCAAGTCGCATGAGCGCGTGCATGTATAAGACAGAGAGGGGGAGTAACAGCACGTAAGAAGGTAACCGCAAGGGAAAAATACTGGGAACGTTTTATTTCTCCCCCACCCCTCCACAAAAAAAAGAGAATATGCAGCATGCACAAGAGACAAATATTATGCAATAAAAGAGGCAGACAAATTTGCTTCAGGAAAAACAATCACATATTGCGTGCAATTTTTCTGCAGAAAGCATGAGCATGAAGCATGGAGACAGAAGACGAGATGAGGATTTAAAAAGCGGAAAGCAGAGTTCCTTCCAAATCACAGCGGAAATCTATTATATCCCGGAGTGTTCTGACATCCCAACACAGCATGGACCAAAAAGCGGATTACGCCAATAATGTACATGTTGTACATACAGCGGATCCATTTAATATCTCATCCGTACATTCAAAGTTCATATTTTATGTCATCAATCCTCCGCCGACCGAGCCCGACCACATTCAACAACATTAAATCCTTATTATCCCATTAATGTGCCTTATCAAGCCATTAGCGAGTTCTTAAACCGATCTGATAAGCTAGGCGGCCAGTAATCACTTTTCAGAGCCCGGTGTGTCTGATTAAAAATGGATGACACATTAGATACACACATCTATATATTTACTTTAAGACAAAAACCTGATAAAAAAGATATTCTGAAAAAATGCTTCATTATAACAGCACAGAACCACAATGATTTGTGTTGAAAGGAGCGCAGATACGATGTGCTCTAATACCGGGTGTGTTTGCAGTAAAGATGGGATTTGTGTAATTCCCAGCAAACGCTCACGTGCCGCACTTTGGGGGCCTGTTCGAGGGAGTCAGCTTAAAGCGCCACGTACGGCACACACACCGGACTAAATCTGCAGGTTTGACATGGTGGAATCTGCCTGTAATCAACTCCTTGGCATGAGCAACACAGTCCACGAGGCCGTGGGAGTGTTTTAGGAAGCTGCTCATCTTTATGTTCTGCCATGTCTTACACATCTGCAAATGACCCAAAACGCCCTCGGCTCTTATGTCTTTACAGCGTTATAGTTTCTCTCTTTTTTCCAGGTCCCATGATAGAGAAACATATGCGGGCTGTTGTACCGACTGCAACCTTTTAAAAGACAGGCCTTGGATTTACTTTCTCCTGAGTGCATTTCTAAACTAGATTTGACATTTTCGTTGAGAGGAGATAGAGAATGTTCTCCCCACTGCACCGGATACGCGTTTGACCCCTAAAACCCACTGAGGAGAAACGCAGGGTTGCCGTTAGCTCTGTGAATACAAGTTTACCTTCATGGGATTACAGCGAAGGTTTTATGAGAAACATGCAGCTTATCAAAATTCTATTTAGATGGAGAATGGCAGGTGAAGACACAGCCGCACACCTTTCTGATTTCATCCTCCTTCATTACCAAGAATGTTGAAAAACGTTTATATTGCTCATATTTCCATAATAGCTTTAGTCAATCACCGTTGATTTAAAGCCCCAACGTGTGTATTGCGATTCATTAGACAGTCCACCAGCTAATTAAAGATCACTAATAGGTTAATTTTGATGGATGAGGGGCTTTTTAATAGAGCATCTCAGAGTAAGAAAATACTGATATTTCTCTAAAAAATAACATCCCTCATGTCCTTTTTTTAGCATTCCACAAACTGCTCTTCAGAATTGATTGGATTTATGTAAAAATGAATGCATGGCATTCATTATTGATTACTTCTTTATACCAGTTGAACAGCTTACAGAATTTTCCTTAACAGCCTTTCATGGTGTCCACGTCCTAGAAGAGCAAATCTTCCTGTTCCCTTTCTGTGTGTGGATATCTGACACACATACATTACCATCAATGAATGGCTGCCATAGATTGGAGTATCACATTACAGCGACATGCACAGAGCAGAAAAACTCATTACATTCTCTCGTTGTTGCCGAACCAGACACGTCGGTGTGAGTTTCACTTAAAAAAAGAACAAACCGAGGCTAACTTTTTTTTATATTGTACTTTTCTTTCAAAGAATGCAACGTTCCGTGCAGGATGTAAAGCGCCGAGCCTCATTTACATGTACGTGACTCCATGCCTCATGTAATAATTCACCATTACACAAAGCCCCTTCTGCACACAACCATTGGAGAGAAACGTGGCTCCTCTTGCAGTCGCTCCGCTTCCTTTGAAGGCTGCTAACTTTGGTGCTTTCTCTTAATCCCGTCTCCCCCCACGAGCCTAACCCCTAAGCCCCCCTATAGCTGCTACTTGCGGTACTGCGCTGTAAGGAGCGCGCTGCTACAGAAGGAAGGAGAGATAAAGAAGGAGGAGGAACTAAAGAGGTGCGCTTGACAACTTTAATTCCATTTCCACATACGGAGGGTGTTCAAAATTGATTTACATACAGCTCAGTGTCCTATCAGCCTCCGCCCGGTGGTAGCGGGTGCACTGGAGTTCGTAAAGACAGAGAAAAAACACAGCGAGGGAGGAGAGGGAGGGAGGGAGGGAGCAAAACACAGAAATCCCCTGAACTCCAGAATTGGAGGAGCGCCTTCATTCCCCAAACATAACTCAAGTACAACTGTAGCTTGTAAAGAATACAGTGAGTCTTAAAAAGAAAGCCTTTTTTGAATTGTTTTGTCACAGGCTTCCCAGTTTTGTTGCGTCCATTAGCTGTGTCGTCCCACGGAAGTTGATTGTGTGGAGCAATGCTGTGTTGAGGGACAGAACTGCTTCAGTCAGTATAAGACGTTCAGCAGGTTTAATTCTAACATCTTCGATTGATCTAATAATTAATTAAATGAACTGTTGAGGCAGCATTGGGAACATCATTAGTTTTATTCAGGTGTTTGCTCTGAAGTCAAAGTACGGACCGCGATGATGGCGCAATATTGAACATCGGGGGAAACTTATAACAAGTCGTCCTTTGGGAAACAGGAGAGTGTTAAAGAATTCTGTGCAATCCATAAAATACCGTTAGAACTATTTCACACTGAACCAAAAAACTGCAGTCATGTATCCTCTTGAAACAGTGTCACTATCCATTAAGCAGATATTTCTGCTGCTATTTACTCAAATTCACTTAAAAAAAAAAAAAATCAGTTGTCGCAGCGTGTATCATGTAGGGATATGGCGTGATTCATACACATACAAACATGACAACATGCAGAAGATTCATTGCCAATCCAACTGACAGTTGATTCGTACAGTATTCCTTTTAATCACATATGGAAACGCCAGCAGTTCACCAAAGTCATTGTAAATCCTCCAAGGTGCATAAATGTCTGCAAAAACAATCATGGCTAATCATATTATCCCTGTGAAGACTCTGCAGGCAGGACCCACGTGGAATTGGACGGACGAGCACGAGGGTTCCTCCACTACAAAGACACATTCATGAGAGAGCAGACACACACGTGTCCGATACAAACTCTCCAGCAGGCAGCGGACCGATATGAAACAAACAGCCCGTTTAAATATTGACTGACCGAAGCAAAGATGGCTCCTAAATGAGCCGGGATGCCGCTTTGCTTTGTCGGACGTCACTGACAGAGCAGTTTGTTTCATCATAGAGAAATAAAACAACATTTATGTCTTACATGTTGCCGTTATAGATCAAAGACCCAGAAGGGCATAACAGATATAACTGTACCAACCACTCGACCCGCGAGCGTTCAGGTTCACAACTTAAAAGCTTTTGGGACTTAAAGTACAACTTGAATCGACTTTTGATATTCAGCTTGAAATCCAAATCGAAACCTTCACCGAGAGGCTTCGTTTGCACAGACAACGATTGTTTGTCTCTGTCCTTCACCTCCTCACAGCTCCGCGTGTGAAGTGAAGCCCGGGGCGAGTGACATCATCACGTCAGTAAAACAAACTTCGAGAGGGAGAAACGGGGCCCTCTGCACTAGAAAATTTATGGTGTGAGTTATCCATTTTGAAAGCGGGTTGAGGGTGTGGGCTTGTTCCTTTTTTTTTTTTTTAACGCAAAATCAAATGGCGTTCCCGGGGAAAGATTCCCATTTGAGCTACCATGTAATCTCCCTTGTGATTGCTTGACCTGTTATCAGGGAGCACGGTAGGACCCGTGAAAGATAATATGTGGGTGTCAGAAAAAGCAGTATGAAGAAATGTGAGTTTTTTTGTTCTCCTCTAACATCCTCTAACAAAAGCACAAAGAAAGATTGTTGAAGGTAAATTGATGTTATTATTTCCCTTGGTTGGTAACTAAATAACAAGCCCACCACAGCTAACGCCGATGACGTACAGCGGGGCCGTTGGCGAATGGACTCTTTCATAGCCGTTGGCCTCGTAAGTGTACAAAGAGCATGATGTCATTTTACCAGTGTAAGGGAATAAGTTGGCAAATCAGCGAGAGGGAAAATGCTCTCATCAGTACAGTGAGAACGAACCCCGCACAGGAATCCAGGCCAACTGCCTCACTTCTCTCTGAGCTGCTCAGCTGCAGCCTCAACCGCTCCATCGTGTGCGAAACCAGCAGCTGCCTCTCCACAGACTGCAGC